AAGCGCCATTTGACCATCACTACCGTCAGGTATCAAGCTGGTGAGTTTGGCTGTGTAATTTACACACCTACATCATCGCATGAAAATCTCTTAAAAGTTTATTTTGTGTCACAGAAACAGTAATATTTCAAACTCTTTACCCGCCCTCCTCCGCCATTTGAGTTTTGGACGAAATGCATTCTGGGATATTTGGCTGCACGCTCGATAGAATGGGAGGAGCGAGAACACATCCGGGCATTCTGAGTGTACTTGGAACACTACTTGGTCTGCGACTGATGACGTATCACAACTCAAGTACATACAAATACGCATATTGAGAAATGGCCAGAGTTTTAAAGAGGAAGTGAAGAAAATATTCCCGTGTTTCACTTAAAAAGGGATTATGTTCAAATGAATGGTCATGTGAGAACATGCTAAAGACAAATCTAACTGAAGTATAATTACTTTAACTGAAACTTGAGTTATATCCATAGTGAATGTTCAAATGGGAAATAGATTTTCTATTTTAAGAATAACACAGAAAAGAAGAAAATGTAATGAAGTGATTTTGAAGTTTAAACTTAAACCCTGTATTAAATCATGTACGTGAAGTCAGATAGGCCCCATTGTAATTGCTCCGTTTATTATTACTATTATTTTCCCCCAAAATGGTCTTTTTAACATGCTCAAAAACTCATAAAACTGCGATATTTTTGGTTAAAACTTTTGATTTTGCAAATTTTGTTGTACTTTTGCAAACTCCTAGGGATTTTATCGGCTCAACTTCATATTTGGTCAGTCTAAACTACAGAAACTGCAGAGCTTTTGCGTTTTCTTCAAAGGCGGTGGCCGTGGCACCACAGCGAATTTTGATCATTCGCTATGGAATTTTAATATGCTGTCACCCACACATGCATTATCCAGTCTGGACCAAATTTTTCATATGTGATCAGGCTTTGACCCTGAACACATTTCATCTGCCATATTTGACAATGGTCAAAGCGCCACCTAGTGGGAACAGTTGGTCTTGGGTTACATTAACCTCTTAAGACCTGGCATCCACATATGTGGACATCCCATTTTGGGTTATATAGACCAAAATACTCAATTTTGCTCTACAAGGGCCTGATATCCACTTACAAGGACATTATACTGCTACTGTTCTATCGAAATTTTAAACGAATATCCTCATATGTGGCTCTCATTTTTCTTAGAAACAAAAATCAGGTAAAAAAAATCTGGTAATTCTTTGTTTTTACATTCACTGGTTCCCAATATGCCCAAATATCAAAGAGAAATGAAAAATGCATGCCGTGGAAGAGTTCAGGTCTTAGGAGGTTAAAAACTATGAGTTTTTGTTAAAGGGTGTGAAACTGGCAGCTTTGGCAAATTTCAATATTTTCACATGAAGCTCGTAATTGCTCCACAGGCATGAGAAGATCTAGCTCATCTTGATTACCAGAGTGAAGAAACACAAGGAGAGGGGACCCCCATATCCTCCACAGAGCTAGTGGGGACAACAACATGGACCCATCAATCATCACACAGGATGGAGGAGGACAGCAATAGCTGGCTGACCTGGCTTACTTCATCTGAGGGCTTAAGAAATGATTGCTCCAGAGGTGTGGGTCGTCCCAGGGTTAACCCTGAAGTTGCCTGGACCAGCCAAAATCCTGCTTTGTAGTAGATGCCTCTGGTCAGCTGGAGCCTTTCTCAGCAGTTTGCCGTTGGATCTCTTTGCGCCTCGTTGGCTCTGGCTTCCTCCATGCTGGTCATTCTAAAACTGTATGTGGTTCAGAGCAAACCAGCTTTTGTGGTTAAAACTGGAATGCGAGTTTATATTTTAACCAACTGACTTATTTTACTTTTGGTTTTGCAATTAATGAAATGTAACTTCACAAACACAAGAAATCAGTTGTATGCTGGTTTATAGCAGACAGGCATAAATTAGTAATCTGTTTTAGGTACCAAATTTATAGTGAAGACCAGAAGTATTAAAATATTAAATTACAAATTTGGAAACAGAACTGTAAAAGAAACAAAATTATGCTCTGATTTTTTTTTATTATTATTTTTTTTTACAATTTATAAAAAATAGATTGAATTGGCTAATAATATCGTCTTATTGTCTGTGCCAGTGGATATATGGAAAAACATAACTGAATTACTTTGACGATGAAGATAAAATAAGTAATATATATATATTCTCCGGTGTCTTTATTTATAATGACCAAGTGTAATTCACAAAAGAAAAAAGGTATATGTTTCATACCAAAGATTTTGGTGTCACAACTCAGTTAAATCTGAACAACAATCTTCATGTCATTTATAGATTGCCTGTAGTCCACTGTCTACATCATTTAGTGTATGTTTGTAGGAACTTTGACTCCACCCTTGTAGGTGGACCTACGCTGCAGAAGATAGTATGAAGATATGAGATATTCACCTGAAACAGACCTACGAGCACTTTCTTTTAGAAACTTAATTTTACATTGTTGCTAAGATGTATTTACTAAAAATGTCACACAAATTCATAATTTTGAAGAGTAAACCATTTTATTACTAACACTGGAGTAGTTAAATTTGTTTATTATTATACAGAAACTAACTGTTTTACAAAAACAAAATGATACAATGTCACACATATGTACAGTATAGTAAATATACCATCTCAAATTGTACACAAAGTATTTACAATTCCACACATACTGCATTAAAAACAAAACTCCGGCTAATACTCTACAGACATTGAATTTTGCATAACATCAAATAAAACATGCCGCATTTTGAGGTTTTTCATCTTTACAAACCCATGACCATTTTTAAATTAGTGCAAGTTAACCACTTGTGTCAGAGGTTATGGATATATATTTTTAATAGTTTCATTCACACAAGTCAAACTAAAACCTGGAAATAATGGAAACCCGTTGCCTTGTTCCTCAAATACAGCTGACCTTCAGATGTTTCCTGATTGTGTTTGGTTAAAGGTATAGTAGCTGATTCTTTGACCGGATGGCTGTGGACATAGTTCTGTAGTATATCTTTAACAACAGTTCACTTGTGAGGAGTGGTGAGCAGACTTACTCGTGAGATGTTTCAATGCAATTCTGACACTGAACTCTAAAGAAATATGTCCCTTAACAGCATCAGTGACTGTATGATCCACATCTCATAAGTTTCTCATTGAGTTTTAACAAATTGAAGGGTCAAAAGAAAAAGAAGAGAGAAAACTTGATGCTGCATTTTGATCTTAGAGGAGGCCTAGTTACATAATCTCAGTGACTGCAGTGTGGCTCTAGAAAATATTTGGGAAAATCTGATGTCAAATAAGATTTTAACACATCACACTCGTGGTATCTGTTCAGTATCATCAGTAGCTTCGAGGTCTGGAGATGCTTCAAATGATAGGAAGGGCTTTTTTTTTTTAGCAGTTATACAGCTGTGAGTCATACCTCCAACACTTTCTAATGCCAGGATTAGAGACAAAATATTACATGACATCACATTTGATGTTTTTTTTTGTTTCTTTTTTAAATTCCCATTATTAAATTCACATTGGATGACAATCAATCTGACAGAATGGTTACCTTATTTTTTACCTCATAATACAACTTCTACAACCAACAGTAATACAGAGTGCACTAACAGCCCATCTTTGACAGTCTCTAGTTTCACATCTGCCTGTGACCTGGAAATCCATCTCTGCATGAAAGTTGCAGTTCTCAGATGAAGGATGGCGTGATTTAACTATACACATCCAGTGTATAAAAAATTGCATCCATACATTCTCATCACGTCAGTGTGAATTTTTTTTTTTTATAAACACTGACGTTCATGTTCATTGTAGACAGGTGCTGTGGTGACTCATTTCTCCTTGCATTTGCGCCGCCACCACTCATGTTTTGGGTGTAAGGGGCTAAGACTATAGGAGAGGATTTACACACTGGAAATGAGAAAAGTGGATGAGGGAGCTAGGGTCAGACAACACTTTTCTTGTTCCCAGCAGCCACTTCCTTTTAAATCCATCCTAATGACATCTCACAAATCATGAAAGGCACCATGCTACGATTCGTCAGGAAGCAATATTGATGGATCCAATTATACGTCTCTGTCAAACTAAGGCAAAACATTTTGGTCTCTATTACCATCTATTCTGACAGAATGAGTATTTCAGATGGACAAATTGTGTAGCCTGAAGTTGACATAGAAGAACTGTCAAGTGTCCAGAGTCACCTGCATTTTCAGCACTCTGACCAGAAAGCTGCAAGACTGAAGCCCACTGGAACATTCAGAAATGTTTTTTTCCTCCAGGCCCTTTCAGATTGTACATCAATGGGACTCTTTGGGCATTTATTAATTTCTGGTACTTTAAAACTATGTTAGGACTTCAGCAATACATATTTCTTGTTTGAATTTGACTCTTTGATTTTATACAAGAAAATCTGTTAGCGATGGCCTCATGGAGGCCAACATAAGAAGTCACGTTTCATGTGTTCATTTATTTAACTAAACATCCTTCATTAAAGGATTTCTCTATCTCCTTTATGACAAATCTCATGATATACTGACTGAAAGAGCTACATGCACAGTAGAAAATAACATCCTGTCAGACCACTACAAGACAAGGAAAGAAATCTGTTGCGACCGATTCACAGATGTATCAACAAATGACATTAATCTTTAAAAAATATGTTTAAAATAAATTCATAGTTGTTCAACAATACTCAACTCTTTTTATGCATAGATTAAAGTGTTTTGACTAACTGCACAGGTCCAGGACACAGTGTCACTACAAATTTTGTGATCACTTCCAAAGCAAGTCATTTTCTCAAAACAGCTACAGGTTCCAACATCCAGATCAGCCTGCAAGGCAGGTTAAGTAATCTATACTGACCGTCGTGACTGCTCGTGTTGTCAGAGGTTTATTGTTATTGTGAAGAGTAATAATAATAATAATGGAAAGACAATAACGATAGCAATGACTGGCAGTTTAAAAAACCCAATAATGAAAGAGCCAATAATTTTTAATGATTTAATTTTAATTGTGAACAATTTTTGGAGTATTGTGACCAACATATGTAGTGAGTGGAACAGTGTGAGTGTAAAAGTAAACCATTCCGGTTTCTTATACTTTGACACCATTGCACGTAGAGACGTGTTGGGTTGTACTGCAGATTTGTTTTGTTATCTCACTTTCTATTACCACATGCAGGCTGCCCTGAAAGTTAGAACTGCAGTACAGCATCTAAAACACAACAGCATGCTTTGAAAACAGTCAGCAGTGATGCACAGTTCCCGTGATATGTAGTAAATGAGCTGAAACACAATTCTTGTTATGTAGACCGTTCTAAAGCCACACAGATGAAAAGCATTTACTACCACGTACTTCCCCCAAAGAATCTGCTCAGTCTCTGCAAGTGAAGACCTGTCATCTCTATGATCATGCGGACTGGGAGCTCTGGAATTACTTTAAAGGACTGAAACTGAAACCACATTTTATTTCACCATTTTTCAGTAATGCTAGAAAACCATACCAAATGGAGCGGGGTATGATGCCCATTTCTTTCTGAATACCTGATCTTTTTTGTGGGCAGCTACATATAAAGTAAATGTCCAGCACTGTCAGTTGCCACTATAGTCAGTCACTTTGTCACCCTCTTTGATCAAACATTTTGTTCTCAGAAAAGGTCAAAGGAGCTATAGAAATGAACCATAAGTCACAGTCTTAGTGCTTTGTTCTGCTCTGTGACCTATTGTTTTGGGTAATTTTGTAGAAAATTGTCTAATTTTACACTTTTTGGTACTGCTGTGAGCTATCAGGCGTATATAAAGATAACATGACACCTACATCTTGGAAACAGGTGCTTCTGACACTGTTGACATAATTCAGAACCAGTTTCTGTCCAGTAGATGGGATTCAGACATGGTTTTAAGGGCCGGGCAGATGGACGATTACTTAATACTCCATCTTAGCAAAGACATCTGGGGATAAAGCAGCTGATGGCTATAATCACAATTTAAAAAAAAAATGTCTGTTTTAGGCTTATTTTCAAAATCAATGTTTATAAGAACATGAAAAGTAAACACGAATATTATTATTTCAATACTGGTAATGTTTGCTGATAAAACAAAGTGTCAATAAAATACATTTATTTTGAAAATCATCCTGAATAATAAAGGTAATGAGTTTCTGTGAGTAAATAATTTTGTTATGAAAATGATGATTGCACAGCAAAGATCACTGAAAGCTCAAAACGGCAGAGGCTCAGCACGTGAGCTACGGCTCGTTTATGAGCCAAGTAGAAGGCAAGACTCTGGCTGCATGACAGTGACGAGTTTTTTGATTTTCACTTTCGTACAGAAGGGAACAGTGGTGACTTTAGTCAGATTTAAAAACAGAAGAGCACAGTCAACTCCTCTAACAGACGAAGCTGCTTACTGGTTGGACTTTCCTTTCAAGGATCCAGCTCAGACTGCCGAGATGAAACACACCTAGACACCACGCTGTCCACTATGAGTTAAATCTCTATTTGAACAAGTAACTCAGAAGTTGGCCACATATTGCACCAAGCTGACAGTAATGTGTTCTTCCGGTTTGTGTGAAGGAAAAAAAAAAAGGTAGAGGTTGACAAAGTTTGAGAGTTGAGGATTATTGCCTATTACTCAATTTTCATGGTCCATGTGTAAACAAATTTAATGCTATGCTGCTAAAAAAAATACAGTTCATAATAAAATATCAACAAAAAACACGAGGACAGAAAAACCAAACAAACCCGAAAGCTCGCAGCTATTTACAGATGCATTTTCTCTAGTGTTTTGCAATCTTCATGTTGAAAGACAGTTTATGGAAAGTAAATAGATGAATCGTGTACTATGATCTACTTGTACAAGATAAATATTTTCAGGCAGCAGGGTATATTGATGATTGTATATTTGATGATCATTGGAGGCCTGTCGTGACATAGCTTGGTGAACTTGTGAAGATATGGATGGCTCGCCTCCAAGATTAGTACCTGGTCTTTGTCCCCAGCAAGATTTTAATTTTACTTTACAAATTGTACACATTGAAAAACCCTGACAAAGGCACACCATGGAGAAAACATCCACATCTAAATTAGAACTAAGGACTAGTTATACATAATCTATGTAACATATGTACAGTACTGGGAGAGGGGAGCTGAGATGTCCAGAGAAGAGGTCTTTTCTCGCAGACACACCCAATCACCTATTTACTGTTGTCGTTTGGTCCATCTCACTGACACTGGAATATTTAGTCTGGAGGAAGGCCAAGGGACTTGCCTGAAGTCAGAGACTTCCTGTTTGGACTGTGCCAACTGAGACACATCACAGTCGACATCCAAATCCATTCACACGGTTTTCCCTTCAGTGTTTTCCACTTAAAGTGTGGCTTCCCTCACTGCAGGACAGTTAAAGTGTTTCCAAACACTGTCCCTATGAAGAGAAGGAGCCTGTCTGACACCATGTACTCTCTAAATTTAAAGATTTGAGAAAAAAAAAGAAAGAAAGAAAACAATTATAATGATAAAAAAATTATAAAATAAATAAAAATCAAGCAGCAGAATTCAAGTTTGCCCTTGCTAATATTCCTCCTTGTTACGAAACACACGATCACCTGTTCTGCCAAAGCAACAACCGTGAAGGAGGAACTAAAGAGTAAATGTGGAGTGCAGCATGAGGCCTGGCAGGCCTGGGACAGGTGGAGAGGGGGAGAAAGAAAGTATATGTGTGACGGGGCAGCTGTCTTCTCTGGTCGATCAGACAATCTTCTTGATGCTGGGTCTCTTGAAGCTGCCAGCACTGCGCTGCTTCTGGACCTGACTGGCTGAACCATGGCGAGTACGACCTCCACTGGACAAAGCTGAGCTGGGGGACAACTGGACATTCTCCTTATCTACACCTGGAGGAACACAGGGATGACAGGCTTTAAAGGCATTCCCTTCGTCTGGGATTGTTTTCTCGACCATTTCATTTTTCTTAAAATCTCTTTAGATTATATTGTTATTGAGACCAACCACATGTTTCTAATCTTGGGAAATTATCTAATTAAAACATTTACAAGTCTGATGAATGAAAGGTACTGCAAAGAAGACGTGGTGCAGCGGTTAGCACTGTCGCCTCACAGCAAGACGGTCCTGCATCTACATCCAGGGGCCCTTTCTGTGTGGAGCTTGCATGTCGTCTCAGTGTGTGGACTTTATCTCTGGTATTTCGGCTCCCTCCCAGTCCAATTTGCATCTTAGGTTGATGCAAATTGTCAATGAAAACGACTGTCTCTCTATTTAGCCTGTGCCTTATGACTGCTACAATACATGGATTTATGGATGGATGCTAACAGTTTGAGAGTGGTAATTCTTTTGGTTAGGTAGACTTGCAGAGTTTGTAAATGTGTTTTTTTCTAGAAACATCTCTTAGCTTGTTTGTAATATTGTTTGTCTAATTAAACAGACATCAAATAAGCTCTTTGAGTTTCTTTTCCTTTCTATACTGCGTTGCATTTTAACAGAATTTTTGTTTTTATATGTGACATGTATTTATTGTACAAATAAAGTAAACTGCCACTCACTGTTAATTTCCTAGTAGTCTTAAAATGTCTATATTATATCCTTCAACCTCATAACAAACTGTTGAAGAATCAGGTCAGGACAGTGTCGAAAGATGTTCTTTGTTACATCCTGCACACAACACAAGGCCCAAGGCAGACCTGTTGTGGAAATAGCTATAAACCATACCTCACAGCGGGTGCTTATTTAAGTTAAGGGTGCTTCCTGGGTTGAGCATGCAGAAGACGGAACCGCCCGCTTATTATGAATTTGCAGCAGCTCGTCTATTCTTAAATAGACGAGCTGCTGATGTTACTGTAGCCTGGTTCTAGAGATAAAGGTGAATAGGGAAACAATGCAAATTTAGTATTTTTTAACCACACTTCATCAGTGTAGTGGAAGGTTTGGTAGACGTGAGTACTGCGTCAGAGACTTTATTGAGATCTCTTTGATCGCAGGAGTGATCATGTCGTGCAAGTCAGAACATCTAAAACATCACCTCTCCCATCACTGACTACTTTCCTTTAGAAAGATGTTTTTAGAGCAACTTCAAGTAACATGAACCGTTCTCTTTATGTTTCTGTGAATCTTCTTTGATGATTAATCACTAACAGATTAACTTTTTTGGTTTTACTGTCTGTAACACAAGACACAGACAGATGACTGACATGAGGTAACACTACGCATGTCTCAAAGTCTTCTCTTTGTGCAAGCAGTAATTCTAGTCCAAAAAAATAATTCTCAGCATCTAACCCCCTCGAGATGATTGATGAAAATTTCCTGGTAAATATTTAACCCTTTACAAGAAATTTCTTTTCAAACAAAAGGAGGTAACGTAGGACAAGAATGTGACCAGCTTTCTCTCTGGACTGTGACTTGGATGAGAACATTTTGATTTGATTTCACTAGATGATGAAGTAAAACATGTAGACGAGGTGAAAAAACAGGAAGCTTTAATACAGAGAGTTAGAGTGACTGTATGCTTTTTGTTGTAGAGAGAGATGGACACCTGGTGAGTGCTGTGAAGTGGCCAGTGAGGTCATCGAGTTTGACAGGTTGAGGTTGGCAGTGATGCTAAGCTGGCTCTGGCTGGTAGGAGGGTAGGGGGAAGTAGGTGTCCTCAGTTGCTCCTCCCCTCGTTCCTCGTCAGCTGCTGGCAGGTAGCTGTCAATCAATGCCTCCAAGAACTTGACAATCAGCTCAGCGTAGTCTGGAATCTGGGTTTGCTGCACAAACAACAAACACAATGAGCAACATCAGAGTCAGGTAACAAGGTCTAACAGCAGCACAGACGAGGTTCATCCTCAGTCAGTGAAACCCAATGTCGTCTGCATAACAACTGCAACCAAATGCCGAAAGAGCATAAGAATCTGGCCCGTGTCAACACTTTATCGGGTGGATTTTTCAGATGGGATGGTAACATGCTCTGTTTCACTGGTTATAATTAAAATTATTTAACATTGCTTTACTAATTGCGTCATGAAAACAAACTGTTGGTGGTGTTGACAAAACTGCTGTGCGCATGAGAGGTTTTCTTAATTTAGACATTTGATTACCTCCCACAGACACTTTTTATTTTGAATACTTGCTGGACTCTGGGCTTTCAACAACAACTAATTCTCTTTCTTCAACCTTTCTGTTGCAGATTTCCTGGTGTGCTGAAGAATATTTTTGTGACATGACCCAGTTTTTATCAAGTTTTAACTGTCAGACAGTTGGCCCCTTGACTCTAGAATATACAGAGGAGTTGATGGTCAACAAGATGGCCAGATGCTGTAATTAATGACAAACATCTCCAATTTGTTCTTGTTTATTCAAAGAAAATGGTTCCAGAAGTCTTGTGGTTTGCTCTGATGTATCTTTACAAACCTAATCAGTGCTGCAATGTTCATTTTAGAGACAAACGGCTTTCTTCTGGAAATCCCTCCAAACCAAGCCACACTGGAGTCTTTCTTTACTTGTACTGTCATAAACATTTAACATGCTACCTGAGGCCTCTGTAGCCTGCCTTTAGGTATTTTGCAGTTTCATTAAGTGCAAACCATTGCATGGTTTGAGTTAAGATTGGCAACTGTTTGAGTCTTTCCACTAATAAATAATAATGCCAAAACTGGATTTCTAAAGGTGCTGACACTTTCTGATGATTGGTTTATCAAGTGCATTTTATTAGCAGCACCTGGCTGCTACTCACACTCTGAATTCTTTTGGAAGGAGTAACAGTACACGTATACAGGACTGCATAGAGTTCTTTAAACTTAAGTGCTGTATTAAAAGAAGAATGGGGAAAAAAACAAGAGAACACAGAAATAAATAAGAAACTAGTGATATTTGGGGGTGCAAAACATACACAGTCATGCCCCAAAAAAGGCACAGGAGATGCGATGAGCAGAAAGACTCGGATAAACTCAAATACCGATGACTAAAAATAAGCTTTAAGTCTAGTTTTAAAAGACTTAATTGAGAGAGCAGATTTGACCAACCACAGCAAACGTCCGGTCCCCTCTGAGTTTAAAGGTGCTTTCACACCTGATGTGTTTAGTTCATTTAAATTGAACTATGGACTGGTTCTTATATATCGCTTTAAACAACTCATTTACACCCATTTGCACAAGCACTTTTTTCTATGCTCTTTCTACACAAGTGATAAGATGGAACCTGAGGTACACAGCAAAGTGTTGCTGTTGAAGAATAATTTCCAATGATGACAGAGAAAGTTTAATTTTTCAGGTATGAGGTAAAGCGCCCTGAGGCAACTGTTGTTGTGATTGGTCCTGTATAGCAAAATAAAACTGAACTGAACCAGTGTAGTTCTCTGCAGCTGATACCAGCACTAAAGTGCAGGTTGAGGAGGAGGATGGTACAGTCCCCAGAGTAAACTGACAGGAGCACATCATTGTATACTTTTAGCAGGGCAGATTCTGTTGTGGGCCCTGAAACCCGACTGAAACATTTCAAAAATGTTATGCAGTAAATATGGAAGAAATTGACGGAGAAGGACAATAAAACACTTTCTGTGTGTGTTTTTGAGTGATAGAGTCTGTTAGATAGAAATAGAGCATTCATACGGCCCCTGAACATCTTTCTGTATAAACTTAAGTTTTGTAAGCATATGTTCTCCCAGGATCTTAAACTGGTATGTCAAAACTAAAAAAAACATTCCAGTCACCCTCAGAAAAAAGTAGAAGTGTAAACATTAGGATTCCATGCTGAACCATTCAATATCAATATATCAAAATGGGCAATGTTTAAAAATAAAATTAAAAAACATAAGAAAATAAATAAATATTCAGTCAATTAGTCATTTAGTCAGCATTGTCAATGCAATTCAGGAGTCTGTATTATTGAGTTTTGGGTTTTGCTAGTTTTCCGAAGCGGCATAATCCAATATCAACATGAAAGCAGACCACAGATCATTTTCAGCCTCTCTGCTACTTTTTGGTATTTATGTATGTGCTTCCAAGAGTTGATGCTTCATATTTCAACACACCAATTGACAACCTGGTTGTAGATCTGCTGTGTACTTCCTTAGTAAGCTGAAATTCTACTGCAAGGCAGCTGAAGCGGCCCAAGTGAAAATAACTAATTGACAAGAGGAAAATGTTATTTGTACCTTAGAGAAGGGTCCAGCAAACCTCCAAAGTCCATTAAAGCCAAAGCCTGTGAATTGAGAGAAAGGAAGAGAAGGGAATGAAAGTAGTGAAACATCTTCATAAAGTTAAAGACGTCCAATTGTCTTCTTTTTTCTTTAGCTTCTAAGAACGGGGGAAGACAACTCAGTGAATAAATATCTACAAGCTTCTATCCATTTTCAGTACCTGTCAGCATCAGGTGACATAACTAAGTGCAAAACTAGGAAGGCTGGCATGTAGAGCTTGTAAATCAATTTACTTTGTAAATAGGAAGGTTGGTACTGGGGGGGTGACTCCTCATGGTACACCACACTCTGGACAATGCCGTGGACAGGGTTCAGGAGATTGATATCCTGGCACATGGATAGCACAGTGTTGATCTTGGAGTCCAGTAGATTGTGGCTGAGAGGGTGAACAGAGAAAACAATATTGGGGCACATGGTTATGCGGTTATACAAGTTAGCCTTTTAAAAAGCTCAAGGGTTTTACTGCTAATTGAAAGTATCGAGGTACATTTTCACTGACAATTACCACAAAGAGTGTAAAAATGAGAAATAACTTCCAGCATTATAAAATCTTAGTGAAGCGAACACCTATAGCAGAGTTCGTCTGTTCTGATGTAGGATATATTTGTTAAAACCAACATTTTAACTGAAAATATTGGTTAGAAGGCGCTGATAACCATTCAGATAAAAGACTGAGCAAGCTGCATCCTATATGGAACAATGGCTCTTTAATGAGTCTGGGGGTGGATTGGCAAAGTATTGGATTGGAAAGCTTCCCTATCTAAGAGCAAAATGAAGCCTGACCTACCACTACAGAAAATCAACCATTGTCCAAAAATATCCCAGGATAATTTCACCTAATCTGAACAAGAACAGAAGACTGGCAGCAGCCATTTGATCCTGTCTGCTTATATTGGGTCCCAGTTATAACCATGAAGACTTATAAATAAAAATATCTGAAAAATTCAAAGGTCACATTTTTCAGGTCAAACAAACAAACAAAAAAAGTAAACCTCAAGATAACCAGGACTAGACATGTTCATTACTTACACAACTGGAAAAACCTTTGGGAAGACAACACTAGCTTCAGCTAAATACTCATACAGAATCCGCTGGTCAAAGTCATCAGTGGTGTATTTGACCTGGGTGGCCTGAAAAACAACAACAAGAGTGAAAAGTGAACATGAACTGAAAGGTAACAGCATATAAAGTAAGCTGTATGGTGTGTTTCCTCACCAGCACAGTGAGCAGCAGAGCCTGGATCTTTGGGTCGGTAAGCACCTCCTCGTCCAGCAGAACATTGGACTCTGATACAGACACCTTGCGAAGGTGAGAGTTTCCAATTCTCTGTGTCTCTGTAATTACAACAATCAGGTATCACATAGAATATGTCCTTGAACAAACTTCAGAATCATATCAAACATAGAAGGATGTGCTAGGATCAATACCTTGTGCTATACTCTCACCTATCTCATAGTCGTTCTCTGCTACACGCCTCATCTTTGGAGGGGTAGTCATGCCTGACTCCATTTCTGGTCTCTTTGGTGCTTTGGAGTCTGATATGAGATGATCAAAGCTCTTCCGGGTGCCTAGCCAACAACACACACACACACACACACACACACACACACACACACACACACACACACACACACACACACACAGAAGACTTGAAATGTGGCGATTTAACACAGATATTCGGGGGGTCCTTCTAAGGAAAGACTGACAGATGTAACAAAAACTGAGGGATTGGACATACCCAAGAGCTTCTTGGTGTTGGCCTGTGAAGGCTGACCCATGTCGAGGCTCATCGACTTGCGTGTTCGAGGGCTAATCTGGCCCATTGTTGGATAATGAGCTGAAAGGTAGCGCTCTGAAACCTGAGGTGATGTCCACGGCTGAGTCTCATTCAAAGTTCTGAGAGGACAGTAACAGAACAATTGTTAGCAAGTAGGTTACAAACTCATTTTTAACCTAGAAATTCCACAATGGAGGAAGGTGGACAACTGTCCCTAATGACAGATAACTAACCAAACAGAATTGTGGTTCTATCTTTGGTCATGAAACTAAACATTGGACTACTAACTAATACTTACAGGAATAGAGCATGAAATGATGCCGCAATCAAAAAACATATCCGTGCCATGATGGGAGAAAAGAACCCCAAACAAAACAACACCGACAACACACACACACACACACACACACACACACACACACACACACACACACACGAAAAGTAGATGGATAAAATGGAGAACAAAATCCAATCAAGTGTCAATAAGCTGTTAAACCTACTGTCATAACTCCGTTTCTCAGATTTAGTGTACCCTGCAATATGACCTGTCCTGAAGTCTCTAACATTGTGTTTAACTGACATTAACAAATCAGTTACTGCAAACCTTTTAAGCCTTAATTAAAAAAATTGAAATAATTTTAACTGGCCCTAAACTGAAATGCGTGTTAGGGACACTGGCTGAAAGGGGTATAACCACCAGTTAAAAGTTTTGTAGTCATTTTAGATTCTGGATTGCACTTTAACATCAAATTGACACTGCCTAAGGGAAGCATGTGTAATGTAAACAGAATTGGTCCTAGCACAGAACCCTGTGGAACTCCATAATTAACCTCAGTGTGTGAAGAGGACTCTCCATTTACAACAAACTGGAGTCTATTAGATAGACATGATACAAACCACTGCAGCGCAGTACCTGTAATGCCTACAGCTTACTCTAATTCTTCTAATAGAATATTATGGTCAACATTGAACGCCGAACGGAGGTCTAGCAAGACAAGCACAGAGATAATGTTACATCTGTGAGATGATTATGGGTCATTTCCTCTCTAATGGTTAAAATTTTATTTGTGAAATCATGAATTCATTACTAGTTAACGTTAAAGGGATGGTTGGCTCAGTAGAGCTCTGACTTTTTGTCAGCCTGGCTACAGTGCTGAAGAGAAACCTGGGGTTGTTCTTATTTTCTTCAATGTGTGTAAGATGTTCGAGGTTTGTGGAGGGCTTTCTTATACAGCAACAAACTATTTCTCCAGGATAAATGATGATCTTCTAAATTTGTGATACACCATTTCCTCTTGAGCTTAAGAGTTATCTGCTTTATGGTGCATGTTTGAGAATTATACCACGGAGTCAGGTACTTCTGGTTTGAGATACTATTTTTCACAGGAGCTACAGTATCCAGTGTCATACATAGTATCTATTGTTCAGCACTTTGGTCAGCCTTGTGTGTTTTTAAAGTGCTATATAAATAAACAATGATGATGATAGTAAGGAGGTAAAATTATTAACAAGATAATCGACCTCTGTTGGAGCAGCGTTCAGGTAGCTGCTCTGCTCTGTGTTGGTACAGGGCATTGAAGATGATAACAGTGGGTGGATTATATTCTTAAACTTAGTTACAGCGCTTTCAGAAAGACATCTACTGTGAAGAAACCTACTCCCCACTGCTGTGTAACCAACTATTGTAAATTTAAATCAGGAAATGATCAGACAAAAGAGGGTTTTCAGGAAACACTGTTAAATGTTCAGGGTTTTTTTTTTTTTGCCATATGTTAAAACAAGATCTAGAGTGTGAGTAAAGTGATGGGTGGGTTCTTTTACAATATTAATATAACTAATATAAATTTAAGGTTTTTTTCTGCTCAAAATTCTGATTTTGTTGAAACAAATTGTTGGTTTTAGTTGAAAACGACAATTGTGATTTTCTGATGTCGGAGTTTCCATGAAGGCATCTATTCACTGAAAACTGTTTTCTTTGTATGAGCAGACCTAAAAAAAGAAACTAAACAAATGACTTCTGCATATTTCACAGACAGACAAAGTTTGCTACTTGTTTGAAGAAGGAAGGCTCTTATTTCCTCATTAAGAGGTGACGATAGTTTTAATGTAATACAAATGAAGTGCAGCAGCTGAACAACAAGCATTAAAATACGAAAAGCAAGAATCCCTCATTTTAACATTGCATGTTCCCCAAGTCGATGGCAAAGAAGATGATTGTCTTTACACAGTGTTCAAAAATACTTTCTGCCAATGATTCCTCCACAGAGAACTGTGCATGTGTGTTAAAATTATAGCCAGCCATAGCAAGTGATATTTGGGACAGAATTCAGAAGTCACTGGCCTTCTTGGGCTTACCTGTCTGTAAAAGTTTATTTTTGGCTTTAAAATTACTGTAGTGATTTGACAGAGATGTGCAGAGCACAGAAGAAAAGTTTAAAAAATAATACAAAAAATACAAAAAATACAGGTGGTTCACAGCAGGCAATTTACAGCATTTTATAATAATGTATACATTATTAGTAAAACTATTGTTTCAAATTGTCTTATTAAAGTATTTATTTATTTATTCATCATCAGCTTTAAGGAGGCCAAGCATCTCTACACACATTTGGTGTAGCACAAGTAGAATACTATTGAAAACAGAAGCATCAGTGAGCAGACTGATGCTCTTTAACTAACTTCCACCGTAGTTTGTTGTCCTTAGTTTTTATTGTCTTTTAATGAGCTCACCTGCACGTAGGATCAGTCATATGACTTGAGAAGGTGTCCATAGGAACTGGGTCCATGGAGAGGTCAGAAATTAACAGTGACTTCCTGTGTTTGAGGCTGCAGCGACTTCGGACCTCCTCAGATACAGTGAGTAGTGCTACACAAAACAACAAAATGTTAGTTACGATATCATAGCTGTTAGAAGGGCACATCCAAACCACTTCAACTACGCAGGGTTAACAGCTCAGACATTGGTTCAATATTAATGCTAAGATCCTCTGATATCTGAGTTAGCAAACACTACCCAAGTTCCTCAACTTCATCACATGATGACCTCAAATATCCAGCAAATGAAAGGTATTTCAAATGTGTGAAAGTGCTGAAAATTGCAGTAAAACGACACTGAACATCTTATGTACCAGCCAGATAGGCCACACTCTGGGTGTTGACCTCAAACTTGTCACATTTCAGATGCTTGCTGATGAGAGCCAACAGTGTGTGAAGGATTCTCACTGTCCTTGCGACTGTGGTGGCTGATGGGTGCCTGTAGCCTGAAAGACATGTATAAAACATGCTGAGAAACAGAAAGACAGACGGCAATGGAAATGTCATTGTGTACAAAAACAATAAAACAAAATATAGTGCTGAGGGGGGACAAACCCACACACATAATAAAACGCGTTGCTTTTCACAGTCACGCTGTGTGACTTCCTTTCTTAGATACTGTAGTTAAATGCAGACAGCCATTTTTAGACATAGCACTTCCTATGTACATATTCTGAAGCTTCATTTCTAAAATCACACTGACAGCAGATTTGTGTGTCTGTTTAACTGTGTTTTTGCAGACTAAATATCTACAAACAAGTGTTTAGAATCATGACACACCAGTTTACCTTTGAGTAGGTGGCCCACCAGTGCAAAGTTAAAGTTGGCGCTAAAGTTGAGTCCGACAAAGTGATCCATCTGCTTGCAGTGCCATTCTAAAGGACGCCTGATCTCCATGAATACTTCTTCTGGACTCTGCAGGACAAATTATATGTTAAAAAAAGACTCCTTATCAATGGCCATGTCGATGTATGGCCACAATATATTTCCTGCACACAGATGTTACTTTTGGCTACATGATGGAAGTCTAGTGCTAAATACTGAATCAAATATCTCTTTATTAGATTCTTGAAGACATTTAACATACAAAAAAGACCAATCAGTTTTTTAGCTCCTGTCAGAGAAGTTCTACATAAAAGTAATGGGTGATGTGCAGTACCAGACGATATTCTGACTGTCTTATAAATGAGTGTGTTTACGTTCACTTCAATAACCTGATCACAGAGGGAAACCTGAGAAACACTGCAGTCATCTGGTTGCTTACCATCACCACTACCCACTTTTCTAAAGTCAAAGCGTGCCTACAGTGGATGAGCTGAAGTTATTAGCCATATTCACATAAACAATGTTCCTGGGCATTGTTACAAACTAAATTATACATATACAAAGCAAAAAGTAGATTGTCACCCGATGGATGGTCTTTAATTCAAACAATATACAACTGCAGGAATGAAAAGGCAGTAAATAATGCTTTTTACCTTATCATTGAAAACACGCATTGTGTCCAGAGTGTGGAGGTTCTGCTCCAGCAGGGCCGTTCCAGCTGAGTAAAGGTTGACTTCATCCAGCTGCAGCACAGCTATTGCCACCCAGAACAGAGCTTTGTGCATGGGAGATTCCTGGGAGATTAAACAAATAAAGACAAATTTAATTAATATTACAAAGGGGATAGTGATAAACAAAGAGCCAATAAGGTTTTACTTTATAACAATATGATGTACAGAGTTACCAAGTTGAAAAGAAAGGAAAAGATCAAACAGTTTGAAACAATTTGATTTTGAACAGAATTGTGAATTTCTGAAAGGTTTCCCAACTGTGACAAAAAGTAGATCTATACTAGTTGAATACCTTGCTGAGTAGAGGTTGTAGCTTAGTCAGAGCAATGACTGTGGCCTCTATTAATACTTGGCTGTTGTAATTGTCTGGCCCCTTCAGACAGCTCTCTAGACCCTGAAACGAAAAGAAGAGTGAGTGAAATAAAAAGAAGGAAGAAGAACAAAATGTTAAACATAATTTTTCAGTTAAATGTTACCGTTTACACCGTACACAATACACGGAATAAAGAAGTCAAAGAGACAGTGAAGTAAAATTCACAGGTGTATGTGAAGCAGCTTTACTCTACAAACGTCTATGTAGACACGTAAAGGACTGAAACACACGTTCTGTTCACGGATCAGACTGCATGGTAAATGACTCAAGGCCCTCACCCGGTCTATGCTGAGCAGAGGGCTAGCCTTGCTTAGGATTCGAATGATCTGCTTGATCTGGCCATGGCTCACTCTTTTACTGATGCAGCCAAACACCACCAGTGCTCTGGGCTGAAGAGATGGGTTGTATTGGAATGCAAACCTGGAATCCAAAGACAAATAAATACCTGTTCCACACTGAAAATCTATGCAACTGAATGAAAAGCAATAGAACACAAGAAGATCATACTTTTGTGCAAGTTCTGTCCACTGGTCTAACCACTTGCAGCTTGGTATGTCCCTCATACAAGCCTGGACCAAAAACACATAACTCAATCAGTATTTAATAAACTAAATACAGTAATTAGACAAACAGTCAATTTTATAATAATAACTTTTTATTAAACGAATAAGGGTAGTAGGAAGGCAGAGAAAAAGCAAAAACATGTAAAAATCTTGATTTTCTCAGCTGACCTCCATGATTTCCAGTAAGGCCTCAGTGACGGTTTCGAGGGAGGACAGTGCAAAGGTCTCCCTCTCATAAGAGCCTGGTGAGAATGAGCGGTCTCTGTAGCTGGAGCGGAAGGCAATCACAGCGGCTGATTTGACTTTGCTGATGCCAAACAGCAGGTAGAACTTGGGCAGGGAGAACTCAGTCAGACTCAGCCTCAGAACCTGCTTTGTTTCCTCTGTATTCAACACAAAAACATGGTTCTTTTTTCAGGTCACAGTAGCCTACTCGCTTTTTGTTTTGTGTGTCCATTGTGTGCCTGCACGCCATGCAAGCTCATGCATCTAGCTTTATGAAGATACCTCCCATTATTCACTGACCAATAAAGAAGAAAACAAATGAACAAACACTTCCTCACCACTGAAGTTGAGCTGAGAGCAGGTGCAGAGGGAGTGGATAATGTTGATGACCAAACCGTGAGTGGAGGCCCTGAGGGACAGAGGCCCAGTGGCTACTAGCAGGGTTACCACATGGAACAGATAAGGCAAGTGGGCTGCCACATCTAGAGAGTTGTTGAAGGACAACATGAGCATGTAGCGAGCCAAGATGGCAATGTCATCCCACATCAGGTGCTGCTCCAGTGTTGGCGTTGGGGACAGACACGTCTTGTCGATGATCTTACACATCCGCCCAATGACCTACCACAAAGAATAGGTGTAGAATCATTATGTCTAGCATGTCCAATTTAGGTTATGTCTTAGCATCTCATTTGGGTTAAAGGTCAGGATCAAGTCCTTATTCTCTCCGAAGCTTCGGCTCATTGTTTGCTGCATCTGCTTCTAAGCATTATGTCACCGAGTTCAAGGTGTCACTTATGCTATTATCTGAACGTTGCCTCAGTTGCGTCCTTCAATTAACACCATTATTATTCATTGTTTTTTCTACAGTGGACACATGAATACAGATGTTAGCTAGCCACATAACCTTTTGCAGTTTTTTGTTGCTTATTTTCACCCATTTTTCACAACTGAAAGTTGAAAAAACAAATAAATAAAGCTTGGTCTGTTGGTACAGGGTTATTGATGCAGGTATCAGAATTTGTTATAGAATAAAATAATAACTCACAGGAGCAGAACAGTTACGATAAGAATGAGTGGAAATCTAGTCCCCAATAGTAAAATGTACTGTATTGCATATGAGATCTGATTTATGACATGAAAAACTATCCAATGTTTGTCAAAGGAGCTTGCAAAGAAAAGCGTCTGGACTTCTTTAAGTTGCTTGAAGACGTTTCACCTCTCATCCTAGAAGCTTCTTCAGTTCTAAGGTCAAATGGTGGAGAGTCCCAGATATAAACCTAGTGGGAGTTTCCCCCCACAGAGGGACAAAAGGACCCCCTGATGATCCTCTAATCGCCTGAGCCAAGGTGTGAAACTGGGTGTGGGTCCCAATCAGCCAGAGTTTCGGGTGAGCTCATTGTGAAACCTGGCCCCACCTTATCATGCGAATTCCTGAGGTCAGATGGCCCAGGATGTGAGTGGGCGTTAAGGCGTCTGGGAAGGGATCTCAAAACTGGATTATAGATGGCAGAGAGTTGGTGTCGTAAACCCCCGCCTCTGTTCAAAGATGGTCGCTCACAGTGGACATAGATGGCTTCTTTCACTCCTCTTTCAAACCATCTGTCCTCTCTGTCCAAAATGTGAACATTGGCATCCTCGAAAGAGTGTCCTTTATCCCTCTGTGGGGGGTCACTCCCACTAGGTTTATATCTGGGACTCTCCACCATTTGACCTTAGAACTGAAGAAGCTTCTCGGATGAGAGGTGAAACGTCTTCAAGCAACTTAAAGAAGTCCAGACGCTTTTCTTTGCAAGCTCCTTTGACTACGATGACCTGGATGACTGAGAACCTTCACAGACATATCCAATGTTTGCTCAGAGGAAGTCCCATGGGCTCTCCTCATCCTCCCCGTCTCCCCTGCAGACCTTCAGTCTGTGCAACATAGATTCATAAGATGGAATCTCCACGTGAGAAACCGTTTTTAGAAATGTGTTGCCTTTTCCAGCTTGATGCATCTGTACAATAGTACAGTTACTAAGTGCCTGTGAAAGTTGTTGGGTGTAATGCATGCCTTACATCAAACACTTTATTTTCTTCTATTTTTCTAGAAGGGCAGTTTCTGTCATTATCAAGACTTTATGAGCATAAAGAAAAAAGAAAAAACAAAACAGAGAAGAGAAGAGAAGAGCACATCCACACACCACACCCGATCTCTAAGAAGCTACGGTATTAAAGACGACTTCCACAGGGGTTAACTGGAAAAAGTTTACTGGGGGCATTACTCATGATATTCAATCAGATTGTGAATGTCTATGTTCTCCGTAGAAGCCTGTGGAAATGTCATTGAAAGCCACTTCCTCCTGCTGCTTTTTAAAATTTCAAGCGATCAAACGATTATTTAAAGAAAATGGTAGAAAAGCTTTATCCTTACACAACCACAAACGTACATTAAGGCCTTATAAGATGTATCTCCTTGCGTAAGCTAATAATAACTTCTCAAAAATTTTGAACTCAAGTAAAATTTTGTACAAGTAAAATCATGGTTTTATAGGAGTGCTTAACCAGAGCCAATAAAGGCAACACTAAAGAGGAAATGCAAACTTAATAATAAATGTATCACTAGTAAACTAATAATACTAATCATGACCCTTAATAATCATTTTGGTTATGAAGCTGACATACTGGACTATACAGCTATTCTAACCAGTTAGAAAATGGCATTTATTCAAGTTTTGGGAGACAAAGAGTTCAAGAACAGCAAACAAGAAGCCATTGTGTCCAGTAGGCTGTACTGCCATGACATCATGCTGTAACTCTACAGATAACACCAGGATAAAGACTCAAGTAAGACGTCTAATAGCTATGTACAATGCTCAATTTTATATATCGTTTTTCAAATTCAGTACAATACTTTAGTAAGACCAAACTGACCTGCAGAGAAAAACAATACTACAACTCAAAGATCAATTTTTTCTTAGTCAACAGTCTTCACAATGGCCACTATTGAGTGCAGTGATGGTGTCTGCTATAATCGGAGCCAGGGGGCCTTGGGTTTTCTTTTGTGTCTGCCTGTGTATATTGTGTTTGTTTATCCAAACAGCAGCTTGGATTTGGAACAACAGCACACAGATAATGGATAGTGATTAGATGAGTTTGTCTCTTTAGCTTCTACAAATCAAGAGTGAATCCCAGCTGGATTTATTTCTTCCATCAGTATGTAAGTAATTATTAACTGACTTTAACATTTAAATATATTTTAAATATTTAGGTTTCTGTGTAGGAGTAGGAGTATGCCCTTGACCACCAAAATCTAATGATTTTTTCCTGAAGTCTAAAGACTTTGGCCAAATTTGTAGAGATTTCTTTGAGATGTAAAGAGAAAAAAATTAAGAATTTAAGGGACACTGTCACTGTAACCTTTGACCACCAAAGATTTGATGTTAAAAACTGTGGGACAATTATTGTAGGGTCTTTACAATTTAACGCACCATGAGGCAACTGTTGTTGTGATTTGATTATATAAATAAACTTGAACTGAACTGAATTGGGACTTGATAGACAACCCAAAGATGCAAGTCATGTGGCCACTGTGGTTGTCAGTGTGGAAACATAACAAAGGCAAAAAATTGTCAGCTGCCTTGGCTCATGTCCATGTGCATTTCTGCTTTTTGTTGATTTGTTTTTCTGTCCTGAACTACAGGCTCTCTGTTTCGACTGACCAGTAGCTGGCAGAGAAATTTTGCTCTTTACGCACAGCTGTTCTTCTAAATGAAAACTGTAGCACACATAGCTAGAACGTAGAGTATGAGATCCAGTTGCAGCACAGAAGCACGTTTTAAACTTGCAGCCTGAAAGCATTAATCATTAATCCATAATTTAAACATAGTATATCCTTTATTAACCATGACCAAATGAGCTGACCTGGACCAAGTAGAAGTGAGTCTATTAAGAAGTGTTAACACCAGGTCAGGGTTTGTGTGTGTCGGTCTATGTGTAAATATCTATATCTAGAAGGTTTGATGTTAAATTTGTGGGCCAGTACATGATAGGGTACTGCTATCATGCCCTGGCCCCGTTGTGCCATATCTACTGTCTGTAGTTTCAAGACAGTGGGTAGCTGGCTCAGTTGATGTGCATAAGGCTAATAATGCTATATATTGATATATATCTGCCACGCATTGTGATATATTGCATAACACAATGCAGCATACACAGATAATAAAAGCACAGTGCTCAGAAACAGAAGAGTTTGACAAATGGCAGGAAAGTGCATTGCAGTTCCCCAAGTGGAAGAATATATAAGCTCTCTTTCTGATGGACGTTTATTGTTTTATATTTTTCCAGAACTCTTTCAATATTCTTTGTAACAGATGTGAATCAGCACAGAAATGCCCCTAGTGGGAACAGTATGTAATTACTGAATTTCTCCTTTTCACCTGATTTTGATATTTGGCAATGAAGGAAAGTTCTGTAAAGAAAAGTAATTACTTTATGAAAATAAAGTATTTCGTCCACTTCTTATGTATATTAAAATGTATAGGATAATGAGCATATGTGTTTGTATGAAATATAATGTAGGATTTGTCCTGTTTAACATAATGCGATGGTTTTTACAACCGCTTTAATTGATCAGTTGTTTACTCAAACAACCTGCTCTGCTCATTTAACAGAACCCCATGTCACTTTCCATCATCAATACCATTAAATCCTCTCCACGAGTTGCAACATGATTCAACATGATTATTTTCTGTGTGTATTAGTTGCCAATGTGCTCTCACCTTGTTGGAGACCAATTTGACATTTCCTGAGGCTAGAGCCACTGCAGTATCAGCCATAACCTCTGCTTTGATGGAACCCAGGCCTCCTGTGGCACTGGTCTTAATAAAGCTGTCTAAGACCACATCCAGCAGGTCTGTTATCTGAAGGTGAGATGGTTAGAAGGCCAGAATCCAAGAGACACATGTACTTATTTAGCTGCTGAGGGGCTGGGTAAACTTACCTGGCCAAGGCTGCCCCAGATCTTAGCCTGGATAGAGGGATACATCTGTTTTTCATTTATTGTCATGGTGATAAGTTTGTCCAAAATGGCAGTGACCCGCTGGCGCTTGGCATCGTCATTGTGCTTACAGAAGCGGACCAGGTTGAGCAGCCAGGGTGTCATGTACTCCAAGCAGAGATGCTTCAGCTCGATGCCTGCAAGAGAACAGCAGCACTTAGAGCTTACGGTTTATTTTAATGTTAAGAATATATCACTATATTGCCAAAAATATTCAATGGTCCTGTCTTCAAACACTTATGAACTTAAGTTTATTTATTAAGCACTTTTCACAGATAGCAGGTAACAACAGGCTAAATAAACAAGAATATTAGGTGCCAAAATAGACAATACAAAATATTTAATAAAATACAGCAAAGTTAACAGGTGGCTTTAAAATAAATTAATCAATTTAAATAAGTAAATAAATAAATACATTTCTGCACAGAAAGCTGGATTAAACAGAAATGTTTTTTTTTTTAAAGAATCAGCAGAGTCAACCAAACACAGTTGTGGTGGTACACTGATCCACAGCCTTGGTGCCACAGGCTGAAAGGCTCTGTATGGGGAACAACCAACCGACTCGGAGTCTGTGAACGTGGACAACGAGCAGCAGTGTATTTTGTAAGAAGCTGAGATAAATAATCTGGGGCCTGGCCATTTGGTGCTCTGTATGCTAAAACAAGAATTTTAAAATGAATTCTAAAATCTATTTGCGAGCCAATGTAGAGAACATAAAACAGGAGTAATGTGAGCACGCTTGCTAGAACGTGTTAGCAGTCTGGGTGAAGCACTTTGTATAGCTTGGAGGTGAAAAAGGGATGATTTGTCCAAGCTGGTAAACAGAGCATTACACTAAATGCGATGACACAAACGCAGTTCAGCTGAGGAGACCATATGTTGCAATTTAGAAATGTACCTTAAATGAAAGAAACAGGAACCAGACAAAGGTTTTACATGCAACTCAAATATTACTCCAAGGACAGAAAGAAGCAAGAACCTGACTGACTTCAGAATGTAGTTCATGAGGAGCTGCAATCACGGTCTCAGTCTTGTTGGTGTTTAAAACAAGGTAACAGATAGAGAGCCAATCTGAGTTAAGTAGTGGATTAGGGTGGACAACCTATCCAGTAGATGAGTCTTAAAAGACATGACAGCTTATCCATTGTATGCTAATGACAGCTGAATATGTCACTGGCATACAATGGATAAGAAATGTCACTAAAAGACTAAATAAGCTAAAGAAAGCATGTAGAAAGAAAATATTAATGGACTCAAAACTGAACCCTGTGGAACCCCGCAGGTCAGGAAGGAAATGTTAGAGGAGAACTTGTCTGTTCTAACAAAGAAGGTCCTATCAGATAAGTATGAAGAAAACCATTCTGGCTTTCTTTCTCTGGCAGAGCCATATACACCAGCTAAAGCTTTAAGCCTATTAAGTAGGAATTTGTTTCCAATGGTATCAAAGGCTGCGCTATGACCAAACAAAATGATCACAGAACAATTCCCTGCATCAGAAGCCATTAGAAGATCATTACAGACCTTCAAAGGAGCGGTCTCAGTGGAACGCTGCCTCTGAAAGCCCGACTGAAAAGGGTAAAAATATGTCATCTGCACAGTAAAGATCAGAACTGATTTTCTACTATTTTTTCTAGTAATTTGCTTATAAATGGCCTATTGAAATAGGCTTAAAATAATTACTAGTAGAGCTGGATTCAAGATCATGTTAGAATAGGAAGGTCCATCCCCAAACCAGACTGTTCCCACAAAGTTGTGAGCATGAAAATGCCCTAAATGTCTTCGTATGCTGAATCAATGAAATGAAGCTCACAAATGAAGAGTTGCTTTTACTGGAACTAGGGGCCTGAGCACAGCTCTTGAAAAACAACAACACCACAATCAACGTCCACCAAACTTAATACTTGGCACAGTACAATCAGTATCTTTCTCCTGGGAGCTGCCAAACCGATATTCGTCAATTGGATTGCCAAAACAAGTGTTTACTGCTCTAGAGTCCAGTGGCTGTGTGATTTACACCACTGCATCCAAAGCTTTGCCTTATACTTGGTGATGTAAGGCTTGGATGCAGCTGCTCTGCCATGAAAACCTATTCCATGAAGCTTTTTGTGCAAAGTCTTGAGCTAATTTGAAGGCTTCATGAAGTTTGGAGGTATGTAGCGATTGACCATACAGAAAGTTGGCGACCTTTGTGCACTGTGCACTTCAGCATCTACGTAAAATCATAAACCATATTGTCATTCCCAAACGCTCCCCTCCCCACCACAGTTATGTAAAAAAAGAAACAAAAACCTTAAAACTTTATGCATTTCAGTGAGGTGAGCTGGTGGCGGTATGAGTACAATGTATCTATTCCCATTTAGAGAGGTAACATCTTTGAATAATAAACTGACGCAGTTTCATGACTGAGTGTATGTGAGAGCTTATGTATGGTAACCAGTACGATGGTAAGCAGACTTACTAGACTTGCTGAAGCCTGAGATGCACTCCTCCAGAAACTCCAGAGTCAGATGAGGTTCGTTGGCTGCCAGAGTTTTGCTGATGGAAACTATAAAGAGCGTATTGTTGGCTGGGATGCAGAGACCTGATGTCTCCAGCAGCTGGCCCTCTATCTTCAGATTAAAGGTGCAGGTCAAAGCACACAATAGGTTGTAAGCTGCAGATCTGGATATGAAACAGATAAGTCAGTGTAAAAACAGTTTTAGTCTTTACTTTTACAGGTTTGAGTTGAAAAACATAGGTGTTGTAAATGAGTAGATCAAAAGTTTTATTTCAGGTCGGTGAAGCTCAACTGAAAACTGGAAAGACAATAAGATGTGCTAAAATGTTCGAGTTTTTCCTTTGAAACTGAACCACTTGCATTGGATCAAAAATATTTAGGCTCATGTTCAAAGTGTACATTACTGCGCAAAAGTCTTGAGCCATCCCTCATTTCTTTACATTTTGCTAGGTAAATGGGAAATAGATGCAGTGAGCTAGTGAGTAAAATACAGGCAAAACAGTGTTTTGGTCCACCCACATTTTTTTTAACAAAACAACTTTTAGGGAAGCTTTCTTGTAATTTCTTCAAGTAGTCTTCAGGAATACTTTTCTGATGTACAAGGACTAGACTAAAAGTAAGTATTTAAGTAAAAAAGGTGCCATTAAGAAGACATTAAGAAAGCCCAGAAAGCGATTGCTCATGTCTGGTTCTTTCAAGGAAAACAAAGAAATGAGGGGTGGTTGAACTAAACCTTTATACCTTAAACACAGTGTATAAAAAATGAATGTATCGCTAATCCAGTTAACTGCTGGTTTCTGAAATTTGACTTTGAAGCATTGAGTTTTTTGACCACTGCTATAGTTTTTGCTTTGTATCAGTTTTATAATCTAATTTTCATCTACATGGGGCTATAATTTATGACGGAAATACAATGTATTCACACATTGTAGTACCTTAAATTTATGTTTTCATAGACATGTGAGCAATAGGGTTGTTTTATCAAACATTTATACAAGCAGGAGTCACTAAGTTTAAGGTGCTTCTGCATTAGGTTTACTTCCAGCAACCTTTATACAAAGTCTAAACTTTAAACCTAAAGTATGCTCAAATATTCATGTGTCACTGGTTCCGAAGCAAAAAATCTCAGTTATATTTTAAATTAAACACATTCTTTGTTATTTTTACAGACCTACTTTATTCCCCATAAAGCCAAAGAATTTGGCCTAGAATAACAAAACAATGACCCTACAGGACAGACCTGAGGCTGGGGTCAGAACTGCCCAGGTTGAGAAGAGCAATGTTGAGGAGAGTGCCAGGCACATCTTTTGGTCGGATTTTAGTGTGCTGAGGGATGGAGTCAGGCTGCGACAACTCCCAGCGTGTCCGGATATGGATGATAGACTGAACTATGGCATCACACTCCTGGTGCATGAAAGTGAGGGGTGTGCCCTGGTTGGCCATGGTGAGGGTGAACTGACTCTCATCCACAAGGCAAATTTCCTCAATCTCGGAGGCATAATATACATCGTTGAGGAAGACAGGCTGGCCAAGGACGCGGGTGCGCTCAGCTGAGGTCACCTGAACGGCTGTTGAACCCACCTGGTCAAGAAGAAAATAAAGATGGTTAAAGATACACCTCTGTTACGATTTTAGTGATTTAATATGTTTATTTAGTGGTAATATTTCTATGTTGCTCATTTTTAGTGCAAGTTCACTGGCTGAAACCTTACCTTAATTGAGACCTTGGTATCTTTGTGGGCCAGTTTGAGGGCATTGTGGAACACTTTAAGGTCTTCCTCCAGTATCAGTGTGGCTGCAGGCAGCTTCTGTTGGTCAGGTTCAATGTGCTCTGCCAACTTAGCTGGAGAATCAATGAACTGGAGCCGCTTGCTCCCTTTTAGGCCTGTCAGCAGCCGCTCATGATACTTGGTGTACTCTCTTACCCAAGTGTTGCAGTTGTAGACATAAACAGCTGCCACATTCTCATATGCAAAGCCAGGAAAGACAACAAACCACTTAGAGAGGAAGTCAGTCTTGAAACGATTGCTGGGTCCAACATGTGTTAAGTCTACCACTATCTCATAGGGCTTAGCATAGTAGGGTTTGAGGGTGAGAAGGACATGGTAGATGAGCAGGTCACCATTGATCTGGCCCGTTTTGAACCTAAAGAAAAGGGGGAAAAAATTCATTATGGTTAAATACGAAATAGTTTTATTTTTTAGATCAGTTGTATAAATGTGAGGCTTAAATTGTTCATTGCATTCTATGTGGTTGAACTCTGAAAAGCTTCATTTCTGAAAAAGATTGCTTCTTTTTGTCTGTTCTTTTTTGTAAGAGCCCTGCAAGCCTCTGTGGTATCAAACCCAAGGCTCTGAAATAATCACACCCTCTGCAAAAAAACAAACAAACCAAAAGACAAAAAAAAACCCAGCAGAAAGAGGGGTCAGGAAGTGACTTCAGACCATCTCAACAGTCAGTTTGCAGCAGGTGTCACGTGCCATTTCTTCCCCAAGACCTCCATAGGACTACTTCAGGTAAGAATTTGTCATGCAGCATCTTTGAATCATATTAAAAGCACAAAAGTCAAGCATTTCCTTTAAAAAAAATTTAACTAGAACTGTTCAAACAACCTTCTGATCATGAGCTCTTGTAGTGGCATTCTGGAATAACGTTCTACATTTTTTTTCAGCTTTACTTTTTCTAAAACAGTTTCTGAATTTCAGAGATGATGGAAGGTGCAAAAACTCTTTGGCTGTTTCTCCTGCTCAACCACCTGCCACTCTGCCCTGTCGGTGCTGACGCAGTCCTTTCAACAACTCAAATATATTCACAAGACTATTCACAAGACCAAAGAAGCAGCCCCACACTTGCTGTGAGTACTACCCTCAGAACAAGTGAAGACAAAAACTCCATCAATGGCACTCGTGGTGACTGCTTGGTTGACACTGAGATGGGTCTGATTGCTATAAGTTCAGCTGGAGGTCTCATTGTGTGCTTGCTGGCTGCTACTGTGGTACTGGCATGCCAGGTCTGCAGCCTTCAGCGCCAGGTTTATGGCCCTCGCACCTCACGGTCCAACATGGACTTAGTAAGCAGTACAGGCTACTGGGGCACAGACCAACCAGAGATTGCAGGCCTGGTTGGACCATATGATGCCAGTGTCATGCTTGAGGAGGTGAAAGAAGACAAGACTGAGGAAGAGAGGCAGGCTGAAACAAAAGGGACAATGGAGGACGATGGGGCAGGACTCAAGGAAGGGGCAATGGCAATAGCGTTTAATCCTGAGGACGATCAAAGTCATATGCACAGCTCCAACTTCAAGGACTCCTGTTTGGAGATTCCCAGGGATTTAGAAGACATGCCCCTTGTTGTGTAAGGAGGTAACCCTACTTCAGTAAATCCAGTCACATACACAACTAATCAGTTTAGCTGATTTAAAATATATTAACTTGGCTTGTTTCAATCACATCCTTTCCAACAGAGATGCACCAATTGTTAAATCATGGGCAAATATAAAATAAAATAAACGAATTATATTAATGGAGATTTTTTTAAATTTTTATTTTGCTCTTTTTTTGGACAGAAATAAATAACTTTGAAAGTCTTTCAAACGCATTCATGAAACGGACACAAGGAAAGAAAAAGCTATAATAGAGTGGTGACTGTTTTCTTATTTGCTGAAGGCAGTCAACAAAGTGAGAATGGAAATTTGGTAAATAAACTGATAAATTTTGTTGTTGCATCACTATTCCTGTTTATTTTCATCTTGTTAAATGTAGGGCATCATATGCAATTTACTACATTAGTGCTGACAGAATAAAGAGCTTTGGGTGCACACACCAAAAAGCATAGTTTTTGCTTAGATAAGGATACTTTTAACATGTTACATAGTTCTATATCTCGTAGTAAATCTTTAAAGCCTGGTCCTGAGTGTTCAATTAAAACAGAAAGAAAGAACGAAAGAAAGAAAGACATCATAACTTTTAAACACATAACATAGCACGGTCCATATTTGTTGTGCGCATGATTTGCATCAGTAACATAACATAGCATAATAACTTACATAATGAACAAAAAGCAGATTAACAAAAACAAGGTCAACATACATTCACAGTTTTGAAGAGATAATGGGCTAAATTGATAATAGAAATGCTGGAAACTTAACTCTGAATCTGTTTCAGCTATGTCTAATCTTTTAAATGAATTTTCAACAATTTAATTATTGGTTATAACTTAAATACTTGTAATATTTGCCAGTTTTTAAATAAATTGACCTTTGTATTGGTGTCAGTGTTTCATGAGTCAAATCAATATTTGTCAATTATGAGCCCTATACACACACACACAGACAGAGAAAGTTGTGGTCAAAAGTTTCCATACACTCGTCATGGACATTTTGAGCTTTAAATTATTTCTTTCCATTGTTGTTTTCCCTGGTCGACTGAGTCTCATCAATATACCTTCAAGGACTAAAAGAAAAACACACAAAAAACAACCAAGAACTGGATGTACTGTAGAATTTATTTTGGATTTCATAATCATACATGACCAAAAATGTGCACACAAGTTCAAATATATATATACACCCCCCACTAATATTTGGCTACATGTTCCTTAGTTGCACCTAGACCAGATGCTTTTGGTAGCCATTAACAAGTGACAATTTGGGTGTTTTTCAAGAGCTTGGCAAAGTGGTGACACATCCAAATAACTTTTGTAAAACAGTTTCAACAGATATCAACTTCTTGAAATCTGCACATCTGTACAAAGGCTCCAAGAGATCTTACCAGCTTTGGAAAATCAATAGTTTCTTGGACTCGTAGAGTATTGGTCAATGAAATAAGTACTATCAAGCTATTTCTTCTATGCTGACAAATACAAACTATGTCTTGTTAAAAGACAACACTTTGAGCTTGAATATATACTTTTGACCCTGTGTGGATTAGAGAAAATCCAAAATGTATTTGTGCAATGGCAATTATTATTCTTAAAATTTTTAAAGATCTATACTATATAATCATTCGACAACAAAACAGGCCACAACAGTGACTACTTATAGAACTGTTATTCTGCTTGATTAAATAACATGTACAAGCCACACACCTGTCAGTAACCCAGAAAAAACCCCACCCATTCCTGTTATGATACAGTTCTGATTAAAAGTTGTTCTAAACTTCTAAACTGTATTGAACTGTATTGTACTTGAAAAATGGCAAAAAATATCATATTTTGCATGGTTGGATCTTAACAAGGATCCAAATAGAGCTTCAACATAAAACAAGAAGAAATGGGAGTGAGACATTTTTTTGGAGCATGCAATTTATTGAAACAATGCTTAAATTGAAACAGGCTGTTTTACAGCTGATCAAAAGTTTAGGGCCACATGCCTTAAAAAAGCCAAATCTGTGCAAAAATGTGGATTCATTGTCATCTTCTGTCAGGTAGTCAGACTGTTATGACGTTCTGATGGCAAAGGCAAAAAAACTTTACCTTTTTGAACGCGGTCGGGTTGCTGAACTGCATAAGCAGGGTCTCTCAGCGCAACATCACTGCCAAGGTGGGACCCAGTAAGACGGTCATTTGGAATTTCTTAAATGATCCTTAGGGTTATGGAACCAAAACGTCAAGTGGAAGACCCCCAAAAATTTCACAAGCACTGAGCTGGAGGATCCAATTGGCTGTCCGTCAATACACTGGACTATCCTCGACCCAAATTAAGGCCGCTACTGGTGCAGACTGCAGTCTCATAACCATCAGATAGCATCTGAGGCTGAAGGGCTTCAAAAACGTTACTGACATGACAAGCAGATCCCACCTGAGATGTTTTCTATGCGCCTCAGTGGAGGGGGTGCCATAATGGTCTGGGGTGCTTTTTCCTTCAGTGGAACAATTGAGCTTCGGGAAGTGCAGGGGCGTCAAACGGCTGCTGGCTATGTCCTATGTGCATGTGCGTCCTAAACCTTTGATCAGCTGTCAAACAGCCTGTTTCAGTTTAAGTGTTGTTTTCAATAAATTGCATGCTCAAAAAAATGTTCTGTCTCAGTCCCATTTCTTGCACATTACATGCTCTACTTGGAATCGTGTTAAGATCCAGCCATGCAAAAATATGATTTTTTTGCCATTCTTCAAGTGAAGTGGTCTTAAACTTTTGATCAGGACTGTATATGCCCTCCTTATGCAGTCAAAATATCTCTGACCTGTCAGGGCATGGGAAAGTGATCTCTGTTTGTATGTTTTTGTGTATCGCAGATCCTGTAGATTTTGTGGTTGAGAATGCAGTATGATAACAAGGTGAGTTTACCTTTCACAGGCATCAATGGTGTGGCTAATAAATGTCCTTACCTTACTCAAACTATGTCCTAAAAAACAGACATGAGCTGCTACCATGCTGCTATTTCAGTTATGATATGTTACTGTTCTGGACATTTAAACTTAAAGAATGCCTTTTCCTTCTTAAAACCAAAGAGCACTCATGAAAATTTAAAATTCACACTTTTTAAAAGTCAATCTTTAGAATTTTACAGATTAATTCAGCATTGTTTCAGCAAACATTTTTAACACAAGACTTGGTTGTAAAACATGAACTACTATATTTAACATAGGACACTGAGAATGATTTCACATGTCACGCTTCCTGTAAGTGGTGCAAGAATCAGTCTCGAAATTTCAGCAGCGACAAACTGTCCAACCCCCAAGATCTTACTTCCTTAGAGATAGCAACTCTGCCAGACAGCAACAGCAATATTCGGCTTTTAATACACCCTGGAAGGACACAACCAACAGCTTTGAGTGTTCACCTGCGTACAGACACTGGTATGTAAATCTAAATTACTAGATTACTGATACAGTTTTGGGTCCAACTCACAGCTTGACAACTTTAAATTGATGATTATGTGAAATTGAGACATATCTATATCTATACACACACACACACCTAAAAACTAAATGTTATGTGTAAAATGTTATTAAACAACAGAGGATACATAAATGTAAATTAGATGAAAATGGTAAAAGCAGTGTTTGAAACTGGTAAATTGCGTACCCTTCAAACCTATGGTGGATTACGAGCATTTTGAGGAACTTACCATTTCCTAAAGCATATTATATTGCATATCACTAAACGTTCTTTATTCAAATGATACTACTTCAGACTACGTGCTCTGACAAAATAATTTCCTCTGTTCTAGCTTCAGAGACACAGTAGCCATTCTGAGGACAGCAATGACCACAGATTTTACAAGCCTCACGTTCATATGGCTGCTGCCACTGGCAGCAAGCAATGCAGTGACATCAAGCAATGCAGTGACATCTAATCAAAGTGAAGTCTCCAGCTCTGTGGTAACTGTAGAATCATTCTTTCACAATGAGCTGACAACACATACTCAGGCATACTCAGAGAAAATACCTGCCACGAAAGACGCACAACGAAGAAGTCAAACAATGCCCTCGAATACGATCCTACCTAATACTAAGACAGCACCAGCTCCTACCAGTTCTGCATCGCCTCACTTAAACAGTACTTCCATGGAATCCTTAACAGAAATACAATCTACAGTCATCAAATCTTCAATGACAGATCTAACTGGCACCCCAGCAACACCTACAAGTGTAACTCCAGTGATAATCAACTCAACCCAAAGCCAGAAGACATTAAGCACACACGTTAGGAGGCACACAAACCCCTATCCACCTACATTTTCACCGAAGTCTACAAAACTCATCTCTACTACTAACACATTTACCACACCTGAAGAAGACAAGTCTGAAAGCATGAGTCCAGCTACAGGTGATGATGTGAAACATTCCACAGGCTTATACAAAACTTCAACATCCATCAACAATATCAGAAAAAGGAAAATACAAGAACCTTCAGAAACAAAGAAAACTAACCATGGTAAAGTAGTGGCCGGACTAATCGGTGGATCCCTGTTAGTGATGATGGTAGGATTCCTGATCATCTTTATTAAGAAACGGAAGCTTCAGAAGCAGCAGGTATCAACTACAGACTGGGCGGGTCCTTCGCCATTTCTAGAGGGTGGAGCTAACAATGGCCAGGTAACAATGAGGCCACCTAACCGAATTTCTGTAGCCAGCTTTCTACCTGCAAGACTGTCCAAAAGATTGTCCTTGCTTCCGGAAACAGATGAGGAGTTAGAAGACATGACTCAAGTTACTACATTTGGAGATAAAAACCAGGGGACCACATTTGGCCAAACAGTTGATGGAAATGATGGACCAGAAAGCAATGGGACTAATGCAGTTTTTCCTGAAATGAAAACCACAGTAGACATCGGACCAGAAAGCAATGGGACTAATGCAGTTTTTCCTGAAATGAAAACCACAGTAGACATCGCAGAGACTGCTGAAAACTGTGTTTCGGCTGTCTCTTTGCAAACTAACAACCCTGTGTCCACAAATAATTCAAGCCTCCGTCAAGACCTTTCTGCAAATCAGTCAAATCAATCTGAAGTCATGGAAAATATGTCTGAACAAATGAACAATGCCCTTATGGAACCTTAAGCGAACTTGATCTCTAAACAAATCCAGCAGATGTAGGGTACCAGTTATAACACCCTTCATTGGTTTCCTGGTAGCAGCAAAGGTAACTACAAAAACAGGAAACCATGTTGTTAGTGCATTCGGAAATAATTGAGATTGTGTGATGTTAACCATGATTTCTACAGCAAAACCTGAAGAACAACATAGTAAGGTTGATTAATTGTAGTTTTCTGTGTTAGTAAGAGTAGGAATATGCAAAATAATAATCATACGCTACATGTAGGGGCATTTTCTTGCTGCTAACAGATAATAACATTGCACAGCAAGCAGTTTTATTTACACTGTGTCATGTAACAGTGTAAATAAATACCATACCATGATGTGAACAGGAAGCTTCCTTTTTAACATTCATGTGAATAAGATCTGTCTCATTTCAAATATCATTCAGTTCGCTTGGCCACATCAAAAGCAAGCTCTGGTACATACATGCCTATCTTAATAATATTCGTTTTGCACAATATGGCATATGCAATAGAAAAGTAAGAAAACTAAATATCCCCCAATAAAATTTCCTGTACTTACAATTGCATGTAAGAATCTGGAGGTGCGCTATGGCTTTAGTTTCGTTTAAATGACATTCAGAACCTTTCTGCAAACGTTACTTTTTATCTTTAATTCCAAAAACAATTAAGCTTATGTAAACCTCAGAAGCACGTTTCTCAGGCAGCCTTTTATAATTTAGTTCAACATTAGTAACAGTGGAGCTTGTACAACTAATATAATGCAAATAAATTGTTTTAGCTCTCTGCTCAATTTGCAGAGAATTAAATTATTTCAAAAGAAATAATTTAAAAAATTTTCAATAACCTTTTTAAATTTCTTAAATAATTAAAATAATTGTTCCATTGTTCACAATTGGGTTGTTTCTTTACAATCACATTTGGGAAAGACAAACAAAAACCCCTCATTACTCTAATTTTCCATTTCTGTTTCTCACTTACATAGCGTGGCGTTTTTAGTCAGCAATGGACCTAGTTGCGCAACCACATTTAGTTTAATATGGCAATACTGATCATCATTTAAGTTGATTAGAATGCTAGGTATTAAAAAATATTAAGAGAAAACTATTTTATGTTTAACAATTATCCATTTGATAATTATCCAGTACTTTTTGAGTTAATAAATTAAATTGCATAAAACCACAAAGCTTTCAAAGACTAATCATTGATCGTTGTCTTTACAAGTTTTACTTCTCTGGCGTGGTAGTATAAGTATAGGTGCCACCATCATAAAACAGAAACTCAGACGGGACCTGAAGTATCTGTGTGATGGCCATAATAAGAGCTGTACCAATTCTCCAAATAATAAGGGAAGGAGGGTAAATTCTTCCTTTATTGGTTCCTTTAGCATAGTGTACACTGGACCATCCTTTAAGAAAAGGGAGGAGAAAACACCACTCCATAATTCACTGAGATGGCCCATCTGACCATTCATGACAAAACACAATATAATTTAAAAAAAAGTTGCTCAGCTCTGGTAAATGTTATCTGTGAGTGCCTTTCCCCATTTTCATTGAATATCCTCCTGATATAGTTTTTAACAACAGTTCATTAAATTCACAGCTGAAAGAAGAACCTCACACTGCTGCAATAAAAACTACTTCTGATTGAACTGTAGCCTTGCACGAAGAACACAGAATGCTATATAAGCTCAAGATCTATATTAATTAATAATAGTACTTAAGGTTCTGTGCAACTGGTGCTAATCAGTAAAGTCCTTTGTTATATTGCAGTCTTTAGTATAATTTTATTCCAGAATAGTCTGCTGGAATAAGTGATAGATAGCACTGCCTTAACAGGCATGATAAAATTAGTTACCTAGTATCACAACAGTAAAATATAACAAATAAGATGAATTTAATTTTAGATGCTATGGGACAGATTTACTAAGTGAGACAAATTACTGTGATGTCGCAATTGCTGGGGGATCTATTAAGAATGTGCTTTATTTTTATAAAAAGATGCAGTTAACTGCAGTAAAAACCAGCCTTGTGCCAAGAGCAAATTAGTGGCTCAAAATTCCAGTTTAAGCTCAGGTTTCACACAAGTGTTGCTCTCTGAAAACAGCGTGGCAATTCGGATAAATGTGAGGAAGCTGAAAGAGAATCAATATCCTTTTGATTTAAGAAAATAAGTCTTTCTATGCAAGTGCTTTCTATCTAACATTCACACGCAATCATACTCCAAACTGATGCATCGGAGAGCAACGGGGGTGTTAGTATCTTGTGAAAGGATATTTGGCATGCGAACTGTAGGGATGGAACCCCTAACCTTCAGATTAGCAGATGACCTGCCTTATTACCTGAGCTAAGATGTACAGAGAACACAAAACATTATTTACCATCAGATTATGAGTCATCTTGTGTTACTGTGTCATGTGCATGAATGCATGCATTGCAGTTTTAATAGCACATTGCAACATTCAGGCATAAACCTAACACACTAACACCTATTTCTTACACATTCAGCAGAGAAAAGTTGCTTGGTGTGTGCGCAAAGTTCATTTCTGCTTTTTCATGAAAACAGTGTAACCGAAAAGCAATAGGTGGGGCTCACAGTCTGATGGAAGGACCAGTGGAAACTCTGCATGCAGATTATCTTGCCATATTTAATCTGCATGTTTAGTAGCCTTGGAATTTGAAAACTGATGATAATTCTAGTCATGATGCTTTTACTAGCCTGTAAATGTGTAGTGGCTTAATTTTAATCAGCAAAGTCCACAGGTCTACACAATTTTTAAAAACAGGGATTTGCTTTGCTTTTGCTTTGAAAAGAAAATGCAAACCATGATGCAAAGTGGTTTATGTATACTCATCATAGATATGAATGTAAAGGTAATTTGGAGCTTTTAATGTTTCCTTTGAACTGTTCTTTCTAGTGTGATAAGATTGTACAGAACACAGCTTTAAGAACTTTATAAAAAAAACATTATGTGTGCAGGGTTTGATTTATTTAGAATTTTCTAAAACACAGGATCATAAAACAAACACTTTTGTTTGCTAGTTGTGGTATTTCATGTGTCGTATACTAAATCAAGTGTGCTGAGTCCAAATCTGTAGTCGGATTTCGTCTAGGATGTCAGGTTCTGAAGTTATACACAGTATCAATGGCTATTCATACAGACAGAAAAGGAAACTGATTTTATAGTCGTTATATGGGCACTGTACATAACTAAATTTTGATTTAAAACTGTGAGAGATTACAAAAACTTGTACACTTTACCAAACGTGTAAATAGATAGTTCACTTGAGTGTTTATGGAATGTACATACACTGTTAAAAAGTGCTGTAGGCACTTGCTTTTGCGCTTGTGAGTCTCTGCTGTTGACCGCTGCAGAAGCCAGCAGTAATTGCCCATCATTATGGGGTTGAAGTGGCCTTGATATCTTTTCTCCATGCTGGCAATATCCTGGTGGAATTGTTCTCCATGTTCATCACTCACACCACCCAAATTTGGAGTGAAACCCCCCCGCTATAAATGCATTTTGAGTCACATTCAGCAGCGGAGTTGCTGATATGCTGCTAACATGTTGCTTACAAGTTCAACATAGTTTTCAGCCTGATGGTTGCCAAGAAAGTTTTGCACAACTAGCACAGATGCATCCCAAGCGGCAAATTCATGTTCAGTTTGGATCTGAATGTGTCATCATGCATCATTTAGCGGATTTCAGGACCAACAAAAATTTCTACTTTTAGCATCAGTTTTGGTTTTTCCAAATGGAATGGAAGCCATTTCCATTACGATCCATTGCCAAGACAAAGTTTTTCATTAGGCCTAGTTTAATGTGAAGTGGCGGAAAGTACACTTTTAGTGGATCAACTAGTAATGCATGTAGCACATTGTATCGGCCAACAGTTTTTTTTTCTCTTTCCGACAACATAGTATTTTTTTCTATTGCATAAAATATTTTATTCTATTGTATATAGCATCTTATTCTTAATATCTTATCCTATTCTATTGTTATTCTTAATTTTTGCTACTGTAACTTTGCACTGTCCACTTTCTGCTGTGACACAACAGATTTTCCACATGTGGAACTAATAAAGGTTTATCTCATCTAACTCTGGGTGGCTACTGCTTCACTTTGTAATGATTGCGATCATCACGAATGTTCCATAGGCACAGAAAGCACATGTGTTCTGTGTACCCCAACTGTAGACCCAACAGCAGTGCCACAACCTTCAGGTCATCACAAATATTCCAGTTGATCAGCTTCAAAATGAGTTCCATTGACTCATATGTCTCTTTCATTCCCACAAGCAAGTAATCCTCATAGCATCAAAAGTAGACATACAAGCTCAAATGAATTCATACGCTAACATAAATCTTCTTGTTAGTGACCGCGATTGATGAACTGGCAGTTTCTTTTTTCCAGCATAAAAGGCTTTGTTTGACCGCACTGACTGGCTAGGCCAATACTCAGAAGAATGATAAAGTCCAAGCAACTCAGTGAAGATCTAAGAAGGAGAACTGAAGATTTACAAAAACTGGGAGGAACTCTTCCCATGAGTTGGACATAGAAACAACTTTGCGATCCCGTTCTCTCAGTCAATACCCAAAGCTCTTGACTATAGGTGAGGGTAGGGATGTAGGATCAACCGGTAAATTGGGAGATTTGCTTTTATCATAACAGGATGTCTGCATCACTGCAGCTCCAGCCCAAATCCATCTGTCAATCTCTTACTCCATTCTCTTCCACTTAAGGCAGCAACTCATCCCTGACCCAGAGTGAGCACTTGGACCCTTTGCCGCCTGAGGACCATGGACTCAGATTCTAATTTCTGCTGCCTCGAAATCAATAATCTAACAGAACCACATCATCTTCAAACAGCACCCCACTTAGTGACTCCAAGAAGACTGGGTACTCTGAACAGCCACCAGTGAGAACCCAAACACACTGGCAGCAAGCCAATACCCTGCCAGCTCAAAGAAACCATTAAAAAGGTAAATATATATATATATATATATATATACACCGAAAGCACTGTATCGAACGGTTCAATATCGATATGAGTATCGTTGCACCCCTAATAAATAAATAAATAAATAAATAAATAAATATATATATATATATATATATATATATATTTATATATAAATTAGTGCTGTCAAAATTATCGCGTTAATTGTTAAGATCAACGCGAAATGTTTAATGCATTAAAAAAATTTAACGCTGATTTTGTTTTTTTTATTAATTTCCTGTAATCTAAGACCTTTAAATTCATGAGCACCTCTGGAGGAGGGGGGAACAGTGTGCTATGCTGGCGTTTGGCCTGACAGAAATGATTAGAAGAAGAAGAAGAAGAAGTGACACCATGCTACTATCTAGCTAACACTAGCTAACACACGCAAGCATGGACGAGGGCGGACTTTTGGGTGGAAAGTTTCTCTTTAAGAAGTTGCCTGATGGCTTCTTGGACAAAACGAGAGTAAGATGCACAATTTGCAACGCTGAATTCAAGTACCACAGAAGCAGTTCATCACTGGCGTATCACCTGAGAGCAAAACACCCAACTGAATCCACCTCTACGGGACCTCGCCAGTCTACGCTTCAGGAGTATGGTGCTTGTGGACGAATAACAAAAAATGTGAGAGAAAAGGTAACCAATTCCTTGGTTGTTTGGATAGCTAAAAACTGCCGACCAGTTAGCATAGTAGAAGATGATGGACTGAGAGAAGTCATTCGTGCTGCATCAGGAGATGAGTGTTACAATCTGCCCTCGAGAGGAACCATTGTGTCGAGACTGCACACTTTGTATGGGGACCAGAGGGCTCAGCAGTCCAGCAAGCTTGTGCAAGTAAGGAATGTCGCTCTCACCGGAGACCACTGGACTTCGGTGAAAAACGATAATTACTTAAAATATAAAGAATAAAAAAATGTAATTGGAGCCAGGCTATTAATAAAGTAATTGAGATTAATCGCAATTAATAACAGAAAATTGTGAGATTAGTTAGTTAATTTTTTTTAATCTATTGACAGCACTAATATATATATATATATATATATATATATATATATATATATATATATATATATATATTTTAGGGGTGCAACGATACTCGTATCGATATTGAACCGTTCGATACAGTGCTTTCGGTTCGGTACGCATATGTATCGAACAGTACAAAATTTTATCAACTTTTCTTCTGACGATGCTGTCTGTGTTGACAGCTCAGTGGATCTGCATTCGACTACTCCGCCTAGGCTGCACTGTCGAGTGCAGAGCCACTGAGCGCAGCGCAAGCTAGCAAGACAGAAGCTAAGCTCGTTGCAACATGGCAACTGCCTCAACGCTACCCGAAATTGAACCTCCCTCACCCTCATTCAGATCTGGCGTTTGGAACTATTTTGGTTTTCATGTGACGTATGACCCTGAAGGTAAGCGCGTCATGGACTAAAGTAAAACAGTATGTCGGATGTGCCACACAATGCTCAATTGGTGGGAACTAGTGCGTTAGCGCAGTTAGCTTGTTAACGTGCTGACGCCGTCCAGCCCCACGCACGGGTCGATCCACGGTAACTCGTTAACGGAGATTTGCAGCGTTATGGCATTAATGTCATTTTAACAAGGTTAACGCTGACAGCACTAGTGGGAACACAACGAATATGACTGCACATTTACGCCGACATCATCCTAGTGCAAAGACAAGTGGAAACAGACAAAAACAACAAGCATGCATGCTACAAACTTTACCCGAGTCATTTAGACAGCCGTTAGCACAGGATTCTCCTTATGGGGACCTGATATGTTTAATATGCTGCTGAGAATATAGCCCAGAAGAAGCGGATAGTATAGCTTTTATTTTGGAAAGAGCCATTTCTCTGTAATAAACTCTCTTTTCCAAAGATGAGCGATTCCTCGATCAGATAGATTAGATTTATTTTTTTATTACTTTGTTGTTTCAGCAACATTAAATTTAAAAACTGTACTTTTGAGTTAAAATATATATTTCTAATTTTAATAAATGACAAATTAAAAAGGCATGAACATTTTTTTGTATTGAAAAAATATCGAACCGTGACACGGTATATATATGCACACACAAACACACACACATGTCGAGTTATTGCTTGCTTCATCAGCAGTAGGCTTGGCTTGCTGCTGCAATTCTCTCTCCTCCCTAACCTGGAGCTCCAGCTGCATCAGGAGCCTGCAGAGCAGTAAACAGGACACAGCACCAGCGACAGAAGGTAGTATTGTATACTGCCACACAACAACCAGAAACAGGAATCTGAGAGTCTTGAGCAGCAAAGAGAAGCACAAAGAAAGGACACAACAAGAGCTTGAGGAGGAAACGAGAAGAAAAAAGGAAAGATGATAAACAGACACTAGAAAGCATAAGGTGAGTGATTTTAAACGGGGAGATCCACATGCACATGATGGCTGCAGTAAATTAATGTAATGTAGTGCTGGCTCATGATAAAGCTAGTCTGTGCTCTGTCGCTATGCAGATTTTTTTCTTTTACTATTCCATGGAGGCATTGACAAAGTCACATTATAGTACTTAAATATAGAAGCTAGCAACGTAAAGCACAGTCATAGCAGTGGCAACTGCTATCATCAAGCACATAAAACGACACCTTGAAGAAATTTCCAGAATATATTTATCATATTCAGTGCTTGTGATCGAGTAGTCTTTAGATCAGAATATGAACTGCAGTTGTGGAAACACAGTTTATTGGCTTGAATGAACTGAATGTCACTGCAGCATTCTGAGCGCATGTCCTACTGGCACATCTTCAAGCTGGTTGCTACTTAAAACCACCCTACTTCAGTATGGCAACAGTACTGAGAAGAGAGTCTGATGAGTTTAAGTGGTGAATTCACAATGCACGTGCCATTTCTGCAGTCATTCACTTACATTTAATGCTATTTGTTAGTAACTAATTTTCTTAAACACCATCAATGATATTACATAGCAATAATGTTACTGACTTAGCTCAATGACTGTTTTGGTCAGAAGAGCAGTCTGAATTGACAAGACATTAAAATTGATCTCTGAAGGCAAGATTAAAGGCTGCTAAGGACTCAATTTGAAGATAAAATGCCAAAATGCTGAAAATGTTAACTGGTGGGCCACAGTTAAAAGTTCTCAAAGACAAGACCAAAGAGTCACATTTAGGAATCCAATATATGATGGAGGGTCACTCAGTAAAAATGCACTTTAGGTTTGTGTTTTTAATATTTTTAATGAAATTATGGTTTCTATTGATATTTGTATTTATAGTTTTGTCACATAGAACTGTGACTAATATAGTATACAGTTAATATGGATCTTCTCTAATGAGCTATGTACAATGATCTATGATTACAACCTTCAAACACCTCTGAGCTACAGTGAAACTTGGTGTCATTCTGCTATATTATTGTATCATATGCACTGTAGATGCTGTTGCTACATTCGGGCATTAGCTCAAGTATTGCATCACAATCATATTCATGATTATTTTGGTCAATACTCAAGTTAAAATCTTTTAGGACAATTATTCACTTGCCTTTTGACATATAATGCATTCGACCCCCCCCCCAAAAGATTTTCTAACTGAAATACCTACACACAATCAACAAAAGACTGATGGTGATTAAGCACCGTGTTCTCCATAAACATGGGATGCGACTGCAGCCCAGCCCTGTCACAAGCATACAAAAAATAATACTGTTAGATCAACTTGATTCATGTATACCTACTTCCTATCACATCAGAAGTACATAAAGTTACATGGACTGGTTCTCATATATTGCTTTTCTACCGTACCTGAGTAGTCAAAGCGCTTTATACAACTTGCCTCATTCACACAATAATAAAAGCATTGTATGCTTTTCCTACAACAGCTCTTGCTTTCTAACGGTTATACCTGTTCATAGTCCAGTGGATGCATAGAAGAGCAACTTGGAGTTATGTATATGTGGCACGCAGACGGGAGCAGGGATCAAACCACCCACCTTCAGATTAGTAGACATCCTGCCCTACCTCCTGAGCTATAGTAACTGCATTTTTAAAAAAATTCACTTAAAATATATTCTGTCAGTACACTTGCCAAAGATATCTGGACTACGTCAGCAAAAAAAATCTAATTTCAGTAAATAATCTGACATTTCCGTCAGATTCTTACAGAGAAATATAGAATATTTGAAACAATGGAAGTATTCATTTAAAGTTTAAATATTACGAAATTTCATGTGCTAGAACTAGCCAGCTTGATATCTAACCTACTACTTTAAAAACTTGTCTCACTTCTAGAGCTCTAAGCATGCCTGTATGCTCTGCATCTGTGCTCTACCTACTCCTCTTGCTGCTGTGTGGGCTGCTGGGAGGCTGGGTGCTGTCCATCTGCCCCGCTGCCTGCTCCTGCAGTGGAGGCCATCGTGTTGTGGACTGCTCTTCACGAGGCCTGACCAAGTTACCGCCTGGTCTGCAGCATAACATTCGCTTTCTCAACCTTTCTTTTAACAGGTAAGCTCCTGCACCTCTCAAATGCTCCACTTTTAGACATTATATTACATGACTCACTTTTAGATACATGTGCATGTAACAGGTAACAGAATAAGTAGCATATGGTTAAGCAGAAATTTACTTAACTAGAGGATCTGACTGTTAAAATATATAGCTGTCCCAGATAAGCGTCCTGAACTTGTAAATTAATAATAATAGATTTTTACATACACACTCACAAGTCTTTAAAAGCCTTTAAGGAACTTCTAAAAATGAACTTGGAACTAATAGCAACTGTTCATAACAGAATAAGAATAACTTGATTGTTGATTGAGCTCATATATCTGACATCACTCATCTGCTACTTATATGAGATGAAAAAAACTGATATCCGTTTTTTTGTTCCATAAAGATTTTGTAAAGTGGGTGATCAAAATTATTCAGAATGGCTTCTAATGGATTTAGTATGCATCTTTCCACCATCTCCCCCCGTATGGCTCAAATTACAGCAATTACAGCTTACACTAGTAGGTCCAGTCTTCATGCATCCTTGTTTCTGACACTGGCTTCCCAGTAGAAGTGTGCAGCATAGAACAGTTAGTGCCACAGACTGAAAGAACATCTGCAGCAATTTACTGCAGATTTCAAGAGATCTTGGTTTCCTTAAAAAAAAAAGAGAGAGATGGCTCCTGTATTCAGGACCAGTTTAGTTTGTTGTATAGGTGTAAACCTAGATATTTATATTTTGTTACCATCTCTATGTCCAAGCCACAAACTTTCACAGGCTGGAAAGGAGGCCTGTATCTTTGGTAATCTACTATCATTTCCTTTGTCTTAAAGGTGTTCAATATGAACACAGTATGAGTAGTTTTTTTTAACTCCAGATGATCAAGGCTTTTACAAGATCCCAATATTCAGACTCCTGTCATACTTCTGTGCTTATAATCATGCTATATGGTATCAACTGATATTTATTAAGCGCTTCTCTAATCCTTCTAAGCACTCAGAGTGTTTTTACACTAGCAAACATTCATGCTTTAGCTTTTTTAGCCATTTGATTATTCATCAATCCAATTAGCAATATTACCATTCTATTACAATTATGATGGTGATAAATATGACGATTAAATATGACATTCTTTTGGCAGCTTGCACGGTGTGGACAACCAGCTCAGCCACTATGCCCATCTGCGCACCCTGGATCTGTCCTACAACCGCCTGGAGAGTCTCCCCCCTGCCCTGCCACGGTCTCTGTGGGACATTCGAGCAGCAGGGAACCATCTACGCTCTCTAGACAAAAATGACACAGCCTACCACTGGAACCTGAAAGTACTGGATCTATCAGATAATGAGCTAGAGAGAGTGGTCTTTATCAATAACACACTGTTGAGTCTACAGTCTCTTAACCTCAGTCATAACAGGTTTTGGACAGTGCCCACAAACATGCCACACAATCTGGAGATCATTGACTTGTCACATAACTATCTGTTGCAGATCCTGCCCGGATCGTTGGATCGACTGCCCCGACTGGCCCAGTTTTATTTGCATGCTAACCGCTTCACCTGGCTGTCTGAGGGAATCTTTGATGACCTAATAGGACTGGAGATTATTACTCTTGGGGATAACCCCTGGGCTTGTGAAGAAGAAGAACACATAACAAAGCTCCTTAGATGGTCAGAGAAAACCCGTGCAACTGTTTTGGGGTGCCCCTGTTATACAAGACCCATCTGTGGGCAATCCCATTTACCAGTAACCGGAAGGGAAAGGCACTCAGCTCGGTTTACGGAGCCACCACTCTGGGTTAACAACAGAAGTGAAGGGCAGGATGTTCAATTGCCCCCAAGGACTGTAGAGAACACACCTAACTATCAGGCGAAGTCTCCACTTGTTGACAGTGGAATGTATCAGGGCAAAGCAGGTATGAATGAATCTGGGGATCACATCTGGACATCTTCAACAAGTATGGATAGTTTTTCTTCACACACAAGCACAACAGAACATCCAAGGTCTTTAACCAATAAGCCTAAACTAACTCGTTTATATAATGAAGGCTGCAAACTGGACATCAAAACTCAACAAACAGTCATTCTGTCTGTTATAGTCATGACAACTGCACTCACCACCATCTAAACTACAATACACATAGTGTAACAGTTATTAGAATCTTGTGGACACTAAATCTATAAGTAATTTCCTGTATGTAGCAGTTCCATTTTCATTTGCCGTATAAAAACTGTTGCAACTGTTGTTATCATCATGACAATATCTCTTAAAATCCTGTACACAAAGAAAAATGTCAGAGGTAAACATCTAGGTTATTGCTTGAACACATGCTGCTGGGTTCATTTATTAGTTGATTCCTAATCAATGCTATTGTGCTGTTTTGGTCCTACCAAGGCATTTAGAACAGTGCTGTTCTAAATACAAAATGCTTTCCAATTTACCAGTTAAAGACTAGCAATAGGACAGTGTGTAATACACACACGTGAGCATGTTCTCCTCCCGTTCCACTATGGGGACTGCCCAACTGCCTGCAGAGAGTCTGTTGTCAGACGGAAGCAGTGTTTAAAGCATGTGAGCCAATCTGTGAGACAGTTTTGCTCATGTTGTTGCTGTTGGTGAGTCAGCCAGCCGCAAAGGAGAGTGAAGCTATAACATATAAAGAGCTCAAGTGAGATCGAGTGTTAAACATAGTGAAAAGTGTGCACTACGGCAACTGTGCGTTTCATGCTGTATTTTTTAATTTCTGAAGTTTTTTTCCCCCCAGTTCTTCTGTTCTGAGTGAACTCGACTATCGCTATTGCTTCCTTCTCTATTCCAGGCTACTGGTCAACCAATCAACTTTCAGCAGTCACATCTGCATGGGAGGACTGCATGGGAGTGTGTCTTGGGTGGGTGAAAACCCCTCTTCACCCCTGTGCCAGACTGAAAAATGTATGCGAATGAAGACATTTGCAGGACTGCAAATTCCACTTGTGAAACTGAAAGAGGAACGCAAACAGGAATTTGAGTCTCAAACAACACTTTACCAAGAGAAACCTACAAGTTGTATCGCAAGCATTATTTAATTGTGAGCAGCAACAACTTCTCAAGTACAAAATACCTAACTTTCATGTTTGTACTGTGTGTAAAATGTGATGGACAACCTTGTGACCCGTATAAAGTTTGGATGATGTTTCTGCGATAAAGTATGGCTGAGCAGGAGGGCTCCAAAGTGGCCTGGCTTGGTGCTCTTTTTCAGAGGTTTTTCCATTCAAATGAATTGGAAAAATTTGTTGAGAATGTTGCAAAAACTATGTGACGAATAGCTACCAAAAACGGTTTACATTGGCATCCTCAAAAGAGTGACCTTTATCCTTTAGATGCAGATGTACATTTGAGTCTTGTCCGGTCGAGGTGGCTCTTCTATGTTGTGCCATACATTTATGAAGTGGCTGTTGGGTTTGTCGAATGTAGAGGTCTGTTGTTTAGTTTGTCTTTGGGACAAACCAGTTTTTGTCAGAGTGTGCGTCAGTTTCTTTGATAAACTGGCTACATAAGGGATGACATTTTTGTTCTGTTTGTCATTCTGTTTCTCCCTATTTGGTGTCTGACCTTGTTTACTGTGCATCTTTGCTGATTTGATTAAAGCCCATGTTGGGATAAAAACATGTTTTAAGAGCTTTCTTTACATGTGTGTGTTCCTTTTCTTTCCCTTCTGCCTTAGAGGGAACATTTTCTGACCAATATTGCTGGATCACTTCTAGTTCCAGAGGGTGGTTGGAGTCAAAGAGTAGGTACCAGGCTGTGTGTGGGCTTCTGGTAAACTTCAATGTTGAGGTGTCCATTCTTCTCAATGTCCAGGATGCCAATGTTCACATTGTGGACAAAGAGGACAGATGGTTTGAAAGAGGAGTGAAAGAAGCCATCTATGTCCACTGTGAACGACCATCCTTGAACAGAGGGGGTTGCTTATCACACCAACTGGTCTGCCACTTATAATCCAGTTTTGAGATCCCTTCCCAGATGCTTTAACGCCCACTCACGTCTTGTGTCAGTTGATCTCAATAAGTCACATGATAGGGTGAGGCAAGGTCTCACAATGGTTTTTACCCAAAACCTCTGATGATAATGATCCACACCCTTTTTCACACTTTGGCTCATGCGATGAAGCACATGATCAACAGTGCTCAACAACTCTAACTCCCACCAGGGCTCAAAATCTGGGACTCTCCACCATGTGATGTAACAAGTAGTATAACAAATTACTTTTTCAGAGGAGTAATTAAGTAACTTACTGCATTACTTTGAAAAAAGTGTTCTGTATGTGTAACACTGACTTTTTAAAATAACGACTCAACACTGATCACAACAAAGAGGGAAAATACCCCAACAAACATGCACAAACATTTGACCCACAGCATGCAATTAATCTGCCAGTGACAACCGATAAGGAATCAAAAAAATAAGTGATATCAATAATGGAATCGAAATTCCTAAATCCTTCATTAATCCCATCCCTGGGTGTTATTACACAAAGACAGAGAGGAGATTCCAACCAATCAACAAATGATATTCAAATGAGCAAGGGTGTGAGCACCCCTGTGTCTGTCATGTCTTTGAGAGAAGCGGTTTGTAAAAAATGGCTTATAAAAATGGAAACTGCCGTTTCTAAATGAAGGTGTTTATTATTCGGGGGAAACAAATCCAAACATAGATGGCCCTGTGTGCAAAGGTGATCCCTCCCCTGCCCCATTATAACATAAATTAACTTTGGAAAGCTGAGTTCAGTTTCTCTAGTCACACCTAGCCTTGATTACTGATACACTTCAATCAAGAAATTTAAATAGGACCTGCCTGACAAAGTGGAGTAGACCAAAAAGATCCTCAAAAGCCATACATCATGTCACGAGCCAAGGAAACCCAGGAACAAATGAGAAACAAAGTAATTGAGGTCCCTCAGTCTGGAAATGATTATAAAGCCATTTCTAGAGCTGTGGGACTCCAGTGAGCACCATTATCCACAAAAGGCAAAAACATAGAACAGTGGTGAACCTTCCAAGGAGTGAATTGCTGACCAAAATAACCTTAAGAACGAAGCGAGGACTCATCCAAGAGGTCACAAAACACGCCAGCACAACATCCAAAAAACTGCAGGGCTAACATCAATGTTCATGACAAATTGGGCAAAAATGGCCTTCATGGCAGAGCTCCAAGATGAAAACCATTGCTGTGCAAAAGGAACATAGAAGGTCATCACAGTTTTACCAGAAAACATGTTGATGACTGTATTCTCTATACTGACAAAGACAAAAGTTGTACCTTTGGAAGGTTTGAGTCCCATTACATCTGGTGTAAAACTAACACAGAATTTCAGAAAAGGATCATCATGCCAACATTAAAATAGGGTGGTGGTAGTGTGATGGTCTGGGGCTATTTTGCTGCCTTAGCACATGGAAGACTTGCTGTGTTATATGGCACCACGAATCTTGCTTTCTACCAACACATCCTGAGGAAGAATGTCCGATCATCTGTTTGTGACCTCAAGCTGAAGTGCACTTGGGTTCTGCAGCAGGACAATGATCCAAAACACACCAGGAAGTCCACCTCTGAATGGCTTAAAAAAACAAAATGAAGACTTTGGAGTGGCCTAGTCAAAGTGCTGACCTAAATCCAATCTGAGCGCCTTGAGGCGACTGTTGTTGTGATTTGGCACTATATAAAACATTAAAAAAAAAAAACAGAATTGAATTGATCAAGATTCTGTGGCATGACCTTAAAAAGCTCCAATGTGGTTGAATTACAACAATTCTGCAAAGATGAGTTGGCCAGAATTCAAAGACTCATTGCCAGTTATTTCAAACACTCTACTGCAGTCAACCAGGTATTAGGTTTAGGGGGCAATCCAAAAAAGAATCCAGCGATTCCAGTGGATTCCAGTGAAACACCATGATTATCAGCATAGTGTACAGTTTAAGCTAAATAGTATTCTACACAGCTCACTACAAAGTTGTGAAATTGGAATTAAAGTGCACTGATTGTACCACCAAAACAATTCAACGGACATGTTTATCACGATTGTTTTTCACCAGAAAAACATTTTTGTTCTATTGCAGTGTAAATGCTGTTAAAATGTTAAGTTACATAATTTCATGAATATATATAGTTTGCGTTGAAATGTCTTTATTTGAAATGTACATGTGTAAGGTGAGAGCTAGTGTCTCGTGAGAATACCCTTAACGAGAGCACACGAGACTTTTCATGGACTGCGAGGGAGCAGATGTCTCTCATGAAGCGATTTAAGCTAAAAGTTTACTAAAAGAAAGGGCAATACAAGGACTTAAGGACCTCTTTTCAGGACAAGCAGCCAACGAGGTATTTGTCATTTGAGAAATGTTTTTTATTTGTGTTTGGACTTAATATGTGTACTGTAAAGTTGCTAATTGTTTGTACTGTTCGCTCGTGACCAGTTCTCACGGCGTATTGGCGTAATGGCGTATCGGCGTACTGGTGATGGTGAAGCTGAGGAGAGAAGGCCCAAGTAATAAACGCCCGTTTCAAAGAACCGACCTGTGTCTGTGTTGTCGTGAAGAGAGCTACAGTGAGAACTCGCCTGCTCAACACGGGTAGGAGAGGACAGGATCGCCGCGGATGACGAAACGACGCGGATCCGGTGCATCACGTCAGATAAGCAGAGTGCATAACGCATATCGGCACAGCATTAACAAGCAACGGTGGTTAGACTGAGTTAAAGTGCTAATTTTCACATTTAAGATCAGGAGAAGCTCTACCACAAAAGTGAAGTTAAGGTGGTGTGAGAAGTGGTTAAATGTGAAAATTGCAACTAAGGGACTCATCTGTTATTCTTGCTTGCTTAATGTAGAGATTAATCCAATGTGTTTGCATTTATAGTTGTTGTACATCACAAGGTTTATAGAACAAACAAGTAAATATTTAACAAGCTCACAGGTTATGAGTAATTTTGAGTTATACAAAATTTGCTGAGTTTAAAGGGCACCTTATGTGAATTTTAAAGGGGTACTATACTGATGTGAAAACTTGAAAACCTTTAGTAATGTAAATGATAAGGATTTAAGGTATTTCTAAGTACATTTACACTGTTATTGTATATTTGTGATAAGGTGATTTTTGTTGTTCTTGTCTGTTTGAAACTTAAGTTCAGTATTGAAGTCAACAGTGTGTTGGAAGACTCATACATACATTTATGAACCTTAATTCAAATTAAGTTTATTGCAACTTTCACTTACACATAGTCCAGAAGAAATCTAGTTGAAGTTTAATAGCTGCACAATCACACTGCTATAATCTCAACATGTCTAACATAAGCAGAGAGACCTGCCATAAAGATGCTGAACAATCCGCTCAAGCTGAAGCTACTGTCACTGAATCTGCAGCAGAACTAGAGGGGCTTCGAAGAAGTGAGAGGGCGCGTACCCTAACAGAAAGGGGAAGAGCATACCAAGATGAGAGACTGAAGCACATTCAACGCAAATACAAAATCATCTATGAGAAGTGGAGGTGTCATGCACGAATAGGCAAAGAGTTATTAAGTGGTGATGCTTCTAAGGATGAGTTAACTGAGCTTATTGAGAACATCAAAAGCACCTGTTCTGATGTAAAGGTGGTTTATGAGGAGCTGCGTCAAGCGCAAACCCCTGAACCAGACCTGCGGCGCAGGGTTGATACATGCATGTCATTCTCAGAATTTATTATTCAAAGAGCAGAGAGACAGCTTAAAGGTCATGAAGCAGATAAAGATGAAGAGTCTTGGCCTGATGCTGGATCTGTTCTAGGCTCAACAGGTTCTGTTTCTAGACCACTGTCTCGTCAAGGATGTAGTTCTACCCACTCTAGCAGCCACTCTGTCAAAAGAATAGAGGCTGTAGCTGAAGCTGCTGCAACTCAGGAAGTCTTGGCAGTGTTGGAGGAGCAAGAAAGGGAAGAAACAGAACTTCAAATGTTAGAGGCTGAGAACCTAGCCAGACAGCAAGCAATCCAAGATAAACGTAGAAAACTTGCACGCCTAGAAGAAGTAAAGAAGCTAAATGCTGCTAGAGCTCGAGTGAGGGTCTATGATGAAGCTGAAGAAAACATAGAAGCAACTGATTTGTTGTATGGTAGTGAAGTACTGCCAGAGCTTAGAGTCGCTGACTCCACAGTACTTCCAGTCACAACCCATTCTCTCAATGCATCAAGTCCCCCATTTATTCCTCAATCCCTAGCAGTCACAAGTCAAGCTCCTTGTCCACAACAGCTACCTCAGTCTCCTCCAGCCTCAGTGTTGAGGCCTCAAGAGCAGAATAGCTTAGATCTGGTCAATGCACTAGTAGAAGCTATGAGTGCAAACCGGCTCCCAACACCAGAGCCTGGGGTGTTTACAGGAGATCCCTTGAAGTTCAAAGACTGGCAACTGTCCTTTGAAACATTAATAGAAAGGAAGAACATCCCAAAGAATGAAAAACTGTATTACCTAAGAAAGTACTTAGGTGGCACAGCAAAGAAGGCCGTGGAAGGATTTCTTCTATTGGGCACAGAAGCAGCATATGACTCAGCCTGGAAGCTTTTAGAGAAACGTTTCGGAGACCCATTCCTAATTGGGAAGTCACTCAGAGACAAGCTGCATGCATGGCCAAAGATAGCTCGCAAGCATCCTTAGAACCTAAGAGAATTTGCAGACTTTCTCAAGAGCTGTGAGGCTGCCATGTCTCATGTCAAGATGCTGGAGGTCTTGAATGACTGCGTTGAGAGTCAGAGGATTCTGCTGAAATTGCCAGATTGGTTGGTTTCCAGCTGGAATCGCAAAGTGATGGAAGTCAGACAAGTGAAAGCTGAGTACCCACCATTCAAGGTGTTTGTTGACTT